CCCATCTCCCAGACAGGTACCCACTGTTCGGACTGTCTTATCAGTGGTTTGTTTTCCCTAACGTTGTGCGGTGGAGCTGTATAAAAAGACGTTCTTTGGTGGCGCCTGGCTAATTTCTGTCAATTCCGTATTATGACAGTTCTTTCTGTTGTTGTACGTTGCTCTTCTCATTTACAGAGATTCTTCTGAATGCATCATGTTCGCCCACCCTATGGTTGCTAACTTTCTCCTTTGGGCACTCAAAAGCCACAGCGGTGGCAAAACCCAATACTAGGTCAGGAAGTTAAGTTAGGAATCAATACCTAATTCCTTTTACGTTTCCTCCTTAAGACATCAATGACAGACTGCTGGAGGGAGTTTCTCAAATACAGTAAGAGGAAAAGAGTTCGAAATGTCGTGTGTGCACCTTCAGAGCCAGTCTCCTTCCTTCCCCACCAAGCTTCAGCCCCAGGGCGGCCATATTTCCAGCCTTCTACCTGGACTCACCCCCACAGGGTGGAGATGGTGTGGGGAACGGGAGCAGGGTACTTGCTTGCCAACTTCCTCTCAAAGGCCCGGGGAGCCCCCCAGCGTGTACTGACAGAAGTCACAGCTTTCCATGATGAAACTCGCACTATGGGACTGTCCTAGATCCCAGTCACTTTGCCCCACCTTGGCCCCTGGGAACCTAGGAGTGGACACAGCCTGTTTGATGCTAGTGAGGTTTTCTTTACTCCCCTTGTGGGTCCCCTACACCTCACAGGCGTTTGTAGTTAAACCTTTCATATATAGCCCTCTGAATTAGCCTTGAGTGACTGCACCTACACTTTGCATGGAAGAGGGGCTGTCTTCTGTTTCAGATTCGTTCACATCCTGACACACTCCTACATGGCCACATACACTGGATGGCTGGGAAACTGAGAGGCAGAGGCCTAACAGGCTCACAGCTCTGCCGTGGCCACACCCTGGATGGCAAGCAGCTGTTACCAGAAAGCTGTTCTGTTCGTCATGTTCGGAAGGGGAGCCCGGCCACCCCCAACCCTTGGGCTCTAACACTGTTTAGCTGCATGACGGAGGGAGATGGCACGACGCTGGCCGGGTGTCCAGCCTGTTGTGCCAGCTGTAGCCAGGCTCCCTGTAGTATCCACAGTGAGGCTGTAAGGCCTGCAGCTGCGGAAAAAGGATGTGGACAGTGGGCCAGTGACCTTCAGCCCATACCCACTGAAGCAGTTTTCTGCCAAGTGAGTTTTCATCCCCAAAGCCAACTCTCACTCTGACAGACCAGTCTGCTGGGGCGGTGATTCCTTAGCTCTCAAATTCGTCTTCTTATACAATTATAAAACCCACACAAAATTCATATAAAGTAACACTCTGAGAATAAGTAGTACGTGTTACCAACAGTGTTGACATACTTGTGCAGGCAAGGGGGCTCCTTCAGCTGCTTAACTGACATATTTACCCCAAGATTTCCAATCAAGTCATTTAAATATATTACTACCATGTATAATTATGAATGTGTTACTGAGAAGTTTCTATGAAAGAGTATAATATGGGAAAAAAAAAACCTAGATGCTAAAGTTGGTATGAGATTGCTGTATCGTACATATCACCGACACTGAATATTCACGTCCAAATGTCTCACTGATTGACTTTATAGGTAACGTATACGTGTGAACTTGGTAGCAAGTTTATATGTAAGATGATATTTTATAATCCTATATATCACACTCTACTCAACATGTGAGGAAAAACATTACAAGCCAGTGGATCAGGTGACCACATCACTGTTGCCTAGGTCCCCACTCGCAGTTCTCCCTTCTCCACCGGAAGGCGCTCTGTCCTGAGCAGCTAGCTGGTCGTGGCCAGTTAGTGCACAGGAGGGAAGAGTAGCTCAGTATAATATTTCCGACTCGATGGGAATCTTTTTCCCTCCAAAGCATTTATTTCTTATCTGACTAGAGGAAGGAAAGAAAAGTCTAGTTATAGCTCCAGAATGAAAATTATTTTTCTTTCATTAAATTACAACATTATAAACACTGGAAGGTCAGGGATACAGAACTGGAAAAAGAAAAGGCAATACCACTCACTGAGCTTGACATGTAACCTTTTTATTTTGTAATAAAAATGCTTTCATATAAATTTCATCTTAACTATTTTTAGAATGAAATTTTGAAAAGTAAAAATGAAGTGTGCACTTTCCTTAGGCAGGAATATGCAGTCATTTTATTGATTACTAGGTTTCTCATACAGATATAATATCACTTTTAAGAGAACTGTACACAAGGGAGTTGCCATAGTACCAAAAAGTTATTGGTGGGGGCCTCGGGACACATAAATGCATCCTCCTAATTAGTCGTCATACATTCAACGTACTGGTTAAGGCCCAAATCCCCAAACCACGTGCCAACGGAACATTACAGCTTTGGTTCTTTTCTATGCAAAAATTACAAACTGCAAATTTAACAATGAAGTGATAAAATGGACTTGAGTGTCACAGCTGCTTACATTAAAATCTTTAACCTTCAGTCTGTCTTTCCCTCAAACCTCTCCCTCCCCCACCTTCATGTAAATCAGAAATCGATACCTAAAACAAATGAACAGACAAACCTATCCTTAAACATAGGCAGAAAAGGATTCCAAGAAAGGCAGAATTTATAAAAATAAAACAAACCATAGAGAGATCTATGCATGGCATGAAAGATGTAACCCTTAAAAACTTAGTATCCAATTGAGAATCCAAACAGAAAGTGATTCTCTGTCTTACCTTCCCTTTTGTTACATAGCACACAGCTCAAAGGTGCTTAAGATCTGAGAAGTTGGCAAAATGCTTCAGAGGCAGTGTCAAGTCTTCCTTATCACTGGAGCCAGGTGCCAGTAACGGCAGCTTTTTCACACTCCACTCCCCCAAACTCGTGTGAGTCAAACAAAAGCATCCCAAGGAGGAAAATCACGCTGGGTAGTCCCACACTGTGGCAGGGGGCGAGTACAGAACATCCAGCGGCTGTATCAAATATTGATCTTTTCAGGCAGTGGTGCTGGCGCAGGAGGGAAGCAAGGGGCAGATGTGGCATAGCTCATGGGCTTCTCCCCATCTGGGACTAGTAGAGGGGCTCGAGGGTAAAGAGACACCATTTAGAATGATAACATGTTTGCACATTGTAACAGGGCTGCCACGGAGGAGAGAACAAAACAGAAGGAGCACACAACCAGCGTGTATCAGAGCAGGACTAGCTTTTGTTGGTTCAATGAACTTGAATGGGACTGAAAAGATCTACAGACGACCACGCCAGAACACGGCTCCCACAGGAGGCCAAAGACAGGTAAGTGGGAAGCACTTGTGTACAGCCCACGCACTGTAGGAATGAAGATTATTATTAAACCAAAACAAGACAGGCAATACATCTACTAATAATACGTACACAATGCCCTGACAAAACCAGTCTCCAGATGTCACGGGCATCACAGTACCGACGGAAGTGACAACGTGGCCATGCAACCAATTATTAACTGACCCAATGAGAAGAGGAAGAACACTATTTTCCTGTTCGTACAGTTGACCAAAATGCTTCTGTTCTTGACAGAGTCGAGCAAGCTGTCAAGGTCACAACAGAGAACAGGTTTAGGTAAAGGTGCAATCATAATCTGAATGTAAAGAAGGCTGTGACCAGCAAGTCTTTAATCTATTATCCAGGTGACCTCGGGAAAGGAGGAAGTCCCTGGTAAGTTTCTAAATTAGTTGCTGTAAGAGGAATGTCCTGTTTCAGGGGAAGGGGAAGAGTAGCAAAAACTAGCAAAGGCTGCCTCACAGCGCACCCTAGAGAAGTCCGATTTTCCATTTCCCGAATATAGAAAAATCCGTCTTCAGTGAGAACCTCCTGGGTGCACCAGTCACTCAGACCACAGTGCAGAAAGCAACTGTAAATATATTTCTGCTCTGAAAGAAAACTGGGAAGTAGAAACTCTGATCAAAAGAAAGACGGCTGTCACCGGGTGTGAGCTGAAGAAGGTTCAATCCTAAACGGCAAGGCTATGCTGTTGAGAAATCTTCCTCTGCGGAGATGTACGAAAGGCTCACGGCTATGACTAACTCCACCTGGATGAGTGAAGAAAGCTGGCCTAGCGTTCTGAGATCCAGGACGAATGTGTTTCACAGTGGCAGTCACAGAATGCTCGGCACAAAGCAGGGGAACTGAGTAGTAACTGCTACTTGCATAAGTTAGCTTATCTCTTGGTCATTCCAACATCTAACCCTTTTCTGGTCTAAAAGATCATGGTATCTAGGCCACAAAGCATAGAACTTGACTTGGATCAGTGCCACCAAAAAGAAAGGCATGTAACTTTCCTTCTGGTAAGCTTTATATGAAGTCCCGAATGCAGGAAACAGAATTAAGGTGCAGCCTCTTGAAGGGATCTCCTACTCCCAATATTGATTCAAAGAAAATTATTTTGTTCTTTCTCCTAGGAATGATATACGTAGAATGCAACACGTGCATTTTTTACAGAAATACATTTGAGGGCTTACACGAAGAACCATAACCAAAGTAAACTGTGGGAGGCTCCCGGGAATGTAAAGAAAACAGGCGGGGGAAGGCAGGCTGAAGCAGCCGTCGAGGGCTGGTGGGGCTCCAACCACAGAGGGGTGCACAGAGGAAAGCACCAAATGCAGTTGAAAGAGCTTCAAGACTGAGAAGATGAGACAGGTCAACTCAGGCAGAATTCCAGGGCACAATTCCCAATCGGACTCTAGTGTAGAACCTTCTCATGGATACACAGAAGCCCCCAGGGCTTAAAAGGCAGTCCAAGCTGCAAGAATGTCTGGGCTTACAGAAGGCATCCATCCTATTCTAGGACGAGACTAAACGTGGCCCCAAGGCTTGTATCTATCTTGCATGTCCATGAACTTAGCTTGCTGGCAAGAGATCGGGAGGAGCCATGTCCTCCCCGCAAAGTCCTGCAAATACTCAGGAAAGCCGATGGATTGCTTCTTGGGCATTATCTGAAGCCTAGGAGCACCTTCCTTCTCTTGCCTTCAAAAGCTGGTCACAGAGATTTCTTCATTTCTCTTCCGGATGACCTTCATTTGTTCCTCAGCAGCATGTGCAATGGGCAGTTCTGTCTCTACACAGGAGGCAGACTCACGCGTAAACCTGCATGTTGCTGTGTGGTGGCTCAGACATGTGTGGCCCAGGTCCTCGCTGACCTCCTCCAGCACCCCCAGGAGTAGGGCTGGTGGTTACATCTGACCAATCAGAAGCAGAGTGGGGCGATGAGCTTGACCACTGGTCAGGAGAATCTGGGGACGGCGTCAGGTAGGGATGCTCGCCTTGCAGGCGACCACTGTGACTGGGTGTTCGCTCAGCGGCACTGGAGGACGCATAGCTATGCTGGGATGGGGGTGTGGGGTACTTGCCCACCGAGGCTGGGAAAGGATGATAGGCTGGCAGAATGGTCTGCGCTACCTGCCCGTCCTGCTGGGGCATCATGGCAGTGGGGAAAGCCACACTGGGCAAACGGGCCATCTCAGGAATCTGGTACATGGTGGGCAGGGGGCCTGCAGCGGCTGGAGGGCAGGCGGACTGAGGCTGGGAAGCCCCAGCTGGCTGGGCAATGCTGCCTTTGGGGATGAGCTGGAAAGTCACGATGGGGGGCAAGGGCTCCCGTGGGGTGCTGATGTGCTTCCCTTCGGGTGGCCTGCTCTGGGGAGCCATGCCGGGGTGGGTGCCCTCGGTGGGAGTCAGGACCATGCCAAACATCTCATTGTACTGGGTCTCGTTCATCTCCATGCGGTTCATCCAATCTGCTGGCACAGTGACGGGACGGAGCCTACTCAAGCTTCCTGCACTGCCGCTGCCTGGGGGGACAATGTGGTGGTGGGACAGGAGCTGGCTCACAGAGGGGAGCACGGTGCTGGCCCCGGGAGCCAAAGGCTGCATTTCGTGAAGGTTAGAGAAAGACAGGGCATGCTGCGCATGGACCGGGGCTGGGGGTGCGGCAGCGGCCAACAGAGGGTTGGGTGAGGCCTGTAAGATGCCGGGGGATGTGGTGTCAGACATGTACGTGTGAGGAGACTCGAGAGAGTCGACGGGGGATAAAGTCACTGAGCTCTCAGACAGCTGGACCTTCTCACTCAGAGACTTCTTCCTCCTGCTACCCTTGGCATCCTTGGCCTCCTTGGCAAGGTTGGGGAGGCTACTGGGCATGGCGCTCTTGGCATTGGGCCGTCTGGGCTTCTTGCCCATCGGGGTGTGCTTCAGACTGAGGAACGACCTGTTGGGCCCGCAGATGACCGGCGAGAGCGCGGAAGTCAGCACAGTGCCCGGGGGGCTTGGGGTCACGTTGTACTCATCCAGGAGGCGCACAATGTCGTGGTGCATGCGGTCCCGAGCCACGTCCCGGGGAAGGCGATCCATGTGGTCCGTGATGTCCCGATTGGCAAAATGGTCCAACAGGATCTTGGCTGCTTCGTAGCTCCCCTCCCGGGCAGCGAGAAACAGAGGAGTCTCTTCCTACAGAAAAGACCCACATGCATCATACTCAACAACACTTGTAAGAACACAGCGGGGTCTCGATGTTTTCTTCATCAGCTGGCTCCCTCAGACACATTTTCCTAAGCGCTTCCCTCATGAAATCTGAACACCACAGAAATGCTATGGATCACCCTATGTACTGAGTATACATCTGTGGGTTGACCAGAACACCAAGTTTTCCTCCTTAGGAATTTGTGAAATAAACCATGACTCTAGGCGAGAACTCTTTAAAAGAATGCTGAGCTTATCAGCCTAAAGTAAACTGGGAAAAATGAGAGAAAGAAAAAAGAGAGAAGAGGCAAAAATGGGTAAGAATGAACGAAAATAATGAAAAAGTGGAAATGAATATGACAAGACGAATTAGGGAAGGGAAGCACGACAGAAATTCAGAGAGAGAAAACCAAGTAAGAAACCATCGTGACATCCAAGGACAGAAAAACAAAACATAGAGCCAAAAACATCCACAACAACAACAACAAAAAATTGACAGAAAACGAGAAAAGGAAATTAGTACAACAGAAGAGAACATCAGAGAAAAGGACAAGTCAGAGAAGAGAGAAGGCAGGTGAGGCCATACCGAGTCGTCTGCAGGACAGCCCGGCAGGGTGAGTCTGACACACCACAGAATAAGCTCAGTATCTGGCCTGCAGCATGCTGTGCGGACCCAGTTCCTGTCCAACCTGCTTCTAAATCTGTCTGTACTGATCACGGGAGAAGCTCCACACAGAAAAAGGGAGGGCCTGGGAGGTGAGGTCGCAGCCTGTACCTTGTTGTCCTGCATGTCGCGGTTGGCTCCATTTTTTAACAGCAGAAGAGTAGCCTCCACGTTGTTCACAGCAGCTGCCCAGTGAAGAGCTGATTTTCCTGCAGGGGAAGGCATTTTTGTAAGCAGACCATGAAAGAACACTCTCTTCCCTTAATCTAGGGATTCTGCACTGGCTCAGTTCTCTGAGCTCAACATTTGAGGAAAGAGTGAAATGAATTAATGAATGAAAGAAGGAGTGACCCTCCGGTACATCTGGATCTGAAATAGTCCTCGAAGGACCAAGCAACAATTCTCCTACATAGGTGTGTCATGCCGATAAGAGTTCAGATCCCACTCCCTTGTCCGTACCGTGGTCATCCACTGCATTCACATCTGCCTGGCAGTTGATCAACTCCGCCACCATTCCCTCCACGGCCAGGCGGGCGGCCAGGATCAGCGGCGTGGTGCCATCATTCATTCTGGCATCCAGATCAGTTACTCGGTTGCGGATCAGAATCTAGAAGAGGAGAAGTACAGAGAGTCACCCGGACGAAGGCAAACAACGAAACTAAGGTCGGGAACAAACGCATTCACGCTGAGGCTGAACTGTAAGTTCCCGAAGGGCAGGAAATCTTAACTTTGTGCCCAAGATTCTATCACAGCCAATCAATGAACATCTGTTGGATAAATGAATGAATGAGCAAACCTATAAATGGGTGACCCAAACACGGTGGCCCACATAAAGCCATGTATTTCTACTTTCTAAGGAAAGCAGAGCATCGTGGGGAAAATCACTTCAGTCAAGATGTAGCAAGCCTGACGTGATTTAGAACGCTTTTAATTTCATCAAAAGTTAAAATGAAAGGGCATCACAGAGTATACCGTCAACTCATGTCAAGAAAATGGCTAATTAGCAGTTGGGAGCCCATACGGCCAGGTCAGGTAGATCTACTGGGAATAGTTAATGTGAGGCAATGCATTTGGGAGGCAACTTTGTACACCCAAAGACTGGTATTATCTACTGTCGGCTCTATCACTGTACTGCTTCTTGTAGTAGGTCAGCTGACTTCCTCCCTTTCCCTTCTTTTTCACCTAGCAAACATGACTAACCTCTCAAAGAATTAGTGAACAAATTCAGTGGACTATTAACTGCCAGAATACAGATAAAACACTGTAGTCCTCTCAGAAATGCGAATTGTTCAAACCACCTCTGCTCATGTCCCCTACCTGGAAGACGCCTTGGGCATCAGCTGCCACTGCGGCATGGAGGGGGCAGCGGCCCATGTTGTCCTGAGCATTGGCATCTGCACCTGCATCCAGGAGGCGCTTGGCAGCGTCAGCCCTCGAGTATCGGGCCGCAAGGTGCAGGGCCATCTCACCAGTCCGGTCTGTCTGTGCTTGGAGACTGGCGCCCTGGTAGACCAGGTCTGTGATGATATTGGCAGAAGAGTCCTCTCCATCTTCATCCTCATCACTCATATCTGAGCTGCCTCCTCGGAGAGAAGCCAACATCAGTGGGGTGCACCCATCTGCAGAGAAGGAGAATTCCAGGAAGTATTCAAGGAGGAGAAGGAAACCAACCCTAGTACTGAAACACTTGTATTTATTTGCATGAAGGTATGCTTAAGAGGATTTCTTGTTCTCCTTCTTTGTCACCTACCTAGCCACTGATAATGCCATTTCTATAAACAGTAGTGGGGAAGTGAGTTTTTCTGAGCTGGGCCTTTTCTCTTAAGATGAACAAGCTTTTTTCAAAAGTACAACATTTTTAAACACCCAGTACTAACAGAACTACATGCACAAGACATAACTAATTCTCTATGTTCTGTTTAGGGATAATGTTTTTCTATCTACTAAAATCTAAGCCATTTAATGAGCCTATTTTTTCTCAGCATGTTGCTGAGAATATGGAACAATATGAAACCCTTCCCTTTCTCGTGAATTCCTAACTTTTCTGTGCCTATAGTCCCTAACACATACACTTCCTCAAACTGATTTAGAAAACATGAAATTGGCAGAGAGCATATGGCCAGGTGGGGCAAACATAGGGCCAACCACGCAGAAGCAAGGCAAGCACTGCCTGGTGAAAGGGGAAGGCTGGCAGTACTGACCTGGGCCCCGGACATTCACGTCCAGCACGTCCACCTCCTGCTCCGCCTGAGGAGGAGTCAGAGCCAAAGATGGCGTCCGACGGATGTCTGCGGCTTCCAGGTGCTGCTGTGTCCATGGGCGTCGATCGATGGGGTCATCTTCTTCTGAGAGCAAAGCCTCGTCTTCAGCCTGGCGGGGGACAGTAACACTCCCTGTCGGTCTCACTAGCCACCAGAAGGTGCAGGCAGGGAGCGGAGCCAGGGTCTCCTGCTACCTCTTTAACCTCCACCCAGCTTCCTCTTTATTCCTGCTCTAACGCTCTACTTCATCAACCCCCTTAGCTTCCCTTGTGGCTCCCGCTTCTCTCTTCTCAGTCATCTGTGCAGTTCACCTCACTTCCCAGCCCAGAGTCTACACTTGATCCCCAATATGCTATTTTTAGATCCCCAAAACCCCATATTCTTGTATCTGAGCCTCTGCCCATACTCTTTCCTCAGTGTGCAGTGGTCCTCCCCTCCCCAATTCTCTAACTGTACCCACTCTTCAAAAAGAAATTAAGACTTTAATTCCTCTTATTGGTCCTAAAAAGTACATTCTGCCTTCCTGTGCTCAACTGACCATGTCCTGAGTACTTACATGGTACCATGTGGCAGCCTCTACAAGCTGGCTATAAGGTTCTCGAGAGGAAGGAATAAACCTTGTCCAAAGCTGCCGCCCTGTGCTTAACACAGTATCCAGTAAGAGCAAGCACTCAGGAAAGATTACTGAATAATGAGAACTAAGATAATTTGAAAGCAACTAAACTTCACTGAATTCTTTTTCTTCCCCCGCTGGTACCGGGGATCAAACTCAGGACCTTGCACTTGTGAGGCGGGCACAGCACCACTGAGCTACATCCCCAGCCCTTTATTGAATTCTTAGTATGCGACCAGAAATAGGTAGGGGACATTAAGCCACTGTAAATAAAATGTCAGTTGTTATCATCATCTCTTTTACAGATGAGAAAGAGGACGGTAACTCGCTGACTGCTAAGGGGCAGACTTCTGCACCTGAACCGAGTCCAGGCCGCACTGTCACGGTCTGCTGGCCCCGCCACACAGAGCCGTGCACGCAGGTGTCCTCAGCCCAATCTCGCTCTCACTGCATTCACTTAGTTTCCTGGGCTCCAGATGTGTAGCCCCTAAAGTCAATGGCCACTGGCTTCCCTCACTGCTTAATTACCTCTCTCCTTACAGAGACTGACCCAGACACCAGTCCTAACTCAGCTAACACTAGTAGGGCACTGGAGGATTCTGTTTAAGAATTCTTGAAAAACATCCATAATTAACCCAAGGTCATCAATGCCCTAAGGTTCGCTGCTCTTCATGGGAACCTGAGGTAGCCATTATTTGGGTAACATAAAAACCATCACCCTTTCCTCCCACGCAGGCCACTCTTGAACCAAAGACGAGAAATGCAGAATGCGACTAGATGATGGTAACAACGGTGGCCCTGCCAAGGCCAGCTCACCTTGGCTTTCTTTGGTTGGGGTCCTTCATCGTCCACCCAGTGTTCACTTGTTCCGGAACCAATGAGGTTAGCCTCTGAAACTTGCACGGACAGGTTTCTGGGATGGAATTATACCAGGAGAAACAAGAGTGGAGGTTACAGCATAAACAAGAGTGGTTTTCAATACTTTTCCACAACGACCCACTCCTAAAGCTGTGCTGTAACTTCTGGGGGCCTGGGCCCAGAAAGGATGGGCAGTATTTTGTGTGTAAGCTTTCATCCTTTCCCTTCACAATGAGCAAGCACTTCTGAGAAAGTGGGTCCCAGCACAGAAGCTGACACCACGGCAATAACACAGGGGTACAGAAGAGACGCATCTGGACTCTGACACGCTGTCACCGTGAGCCCCTCGGAATCCCGATGGGGGAGATGAGGGGCCAGGGCTTAGACTTTAGCGTCATGACTCAGTAAAGTGCTTTCCTATTCACCCTTGCTTCCTGCCGTGACCTGTGCCTTGGGGGCAAATCCACTTACTTCAGCCCAACCGCATCCTGTCCCACAGGCTCCCGCCGCTTGTGGTTGCTGGACTCTCGGCGAAGGGTGAAACCTTCGGGCAGCCAGAGGGAGCCATGCTTGCGCTTCCGTTTTGCCATGATTACTCCCAGCAGGATAATAAACAGGACAAGGACAACAGCGACAGCGAGCAGATAGAGGAGCTGAGTGCCTTTTGGAATCAGCGATTCACCTGAAGTTCAGAAAGACAGGGTCAGCGTTATAGAACATTAGCTTCCTGGCGGCGGCATTAAATTCACTTAGAGAAGCACAGGGCTGCGCACCAGAGTGAGAGCCCCAAGTGTCTTTCCCAGTCCTCCCGCTTAGCACCAACACTACTCACTGACGACAGACACAAGAGGGTAGGACAGGGTTCCCTGGATAGCATGAGAGGCCAGCAGAGCCGCGGCCGCGTCTGTGTTCTTGAAGCACTGCTCGGAGTCTTGCACACACTGGCGGTTGTCAATTTCCAGAAACACTGTAGAGCTGTGGGTGCCAGGGGAAAGAGGAAGATGAGGGAGGGTAGGTGAAACAGAAGGATGCAGCAGGTCCAGCTGCCTGAACTTTTTGAGCTCTTGTTCTCCGAGGTCTCTACATTCACATCCGCACCGTCTGGAAGATTGAAAATGTGGTGTATACTAGCAGACATGAAGGTGCAGATGGCAGAGTAACTGAAGCTTACTGTCCTTGTCAGAGAGGCTTACTGTCGGTGAGGGTTCTTGAAAATAAGCCAATGATTAATACAAAAAAGAACCCATAGCCAGGCACGGTGCTACTCGCCTGTAATACCAGCACTCTGAGAGGCTGAGGCAGGAGGACCACGCATCTGAACCCAGCGTGGGCAATTTAACTTAATGAAACCTTGTCTCAAAAAATAAAAAAGGTCTGACAATGTAGCTCAGAGTTAAGGCCCTGGGTTCGATTCCTAATACCACAAAAAAAGAGTATTCAATAATAAAGGGTATTGAGGCAGCTCTGGTAAAAAATTAGGGCCTCCAGCATTGAGAAACCCCTCCCATTCCACCCCGTCAGCCCACCTTCCCCAAGTCCACCCTCAAGGCAAATCTTTATTCTTAACCCTTGGATGGCGGGCTTGTCTTAGGGGTAGGCCATTCTACTTGCCTCAGCTTTGAATTTGTATAGGTTGAGTCCTGACTTTTGCTGGCATATCAAAGTGCTCAGCTTTATATAAAAGCTTTTAAGACGTTTAAAAACTGCAAACCTACCCAGCCACCTCCTGTTCTTGTTCATCAGGAAGAGACCTTCGTGACACCTTCTGCTTCCTCACGGCAGCTGACTTCTCCCCGTAGTAGGGGTACACCATGGGGGCCCCCTGGGAGTCCTGTTTGATGCGCAGGTTGGTGTGCAGCAAGGTGCCCAGTGCCCGCAGGAAGCTGCGAGCGTCCTGCAGCAGCTGCTCAGGGGGCATCAGCACCACGATGACCAGAGTCCCCTCTGCCAGGTTCTCAGGCCGGTCGGTGGCACAGTCCAGCCCGTCCCAGCCGCATTCCTCACTGTTGCAGCCCTGGTCACAGTGGTTGTCTTTGAAGTGGTCGGCACAGTACTTGTCATACCTAGGCAGTGTGGAGAACAGACGGGGAAAGGGGTTCAGCATGGACTAGAAATGGACGCGGTTTTCCACATGGAACGACTGTGCATTTTCCTACCTATCTCTGTGGCCTATATCAGGGTCCAAATGTCCCTGACGGTGCGGAGCGTGCAGTATGCACTGCTCAGTGTTACGGGTACTGACGGCTCCCAATGAGGAATCGCACTGTGCTCATTATGCTCTGGGACTCCCGCGCAACTCACAATCGTGTTTAAGTCAGATTTTTAGATAAAAGTTTGAAATCAAAGTCAGCCTGACTAATGCTCCCTCTGCTTTGCATCCACTTCTCCCTCCCGAGACTGGAGGGCTTTACAAGTCAAAGGTGTCCGCGGTGGTTCCACACTCTGGACGGTCAAGAGTTGTTACACTGAGAAACCTGTCAGTCACTATAGCCAGTTTCTTTCCCTTTCTGCAGAGAATCCCAACTACAGACGCTAAGGAGACTCACGTTCCGCACAGGATACGAGATTAAATTTGCACAGCTGCCTTCAAACATTGGGAAAAGAAAATAACCTAAATGATGCACAAACCATTCTCCCACACTCTCCTCCCCTCAACCCCACACCTTGAAATTTGTACCATTTAGTTCAACTTGGTCATGTAGTCCCATGAAAAGACCATGAGCCAGGAGGAGCTGTGTGTGCTCTAACACGTGCTTTAACCTTCTGGACCTTAGTTCCCTCACCTGTGAAAGACTGTGAACGACACCAAGGCCTCACAAGGTAACAGAGGATTAACTAGGGTTAAATTAGATGGAGCGGTTAATAGAAAGTTTACTGTGTAGACCAAAGCATCCTGTAACTTCAACAACACAGACCAGAAGGGCTAAGGGGCCTAATCTAGCTCCTCCTTCCCGATCAATCTAGACGGTGAAAGTCAGTCTTAGGGAAAGGGGTGGGTGAAGAGAGAGGTACAGACCTTGCCATCCATCCTGAAGGCAGGTTATGTGAGAAGCTGCCTGAGCGTGAGTAACACCACTTCCAAAAGTTACTTCCCCCAGGGGATCAGGAGAACAGCGGGTGAGAAGGCAGAGACAGGCAGAGGGGGGGCGGTTACGCAACGAGCATCCCTGGCCTCTGCAGCAGGGAGAGAACAGGGCAGCGCACGACGGGACGAGGCTGGCACCATCGGGATGCAGAGGCAGCTCGGGCTGAAGCACTGGAGTGGTTAGGAGCAGGGGTGCGAAACCGAGGCGTGTTAGTGACAGTGCCCTCAGCTTCTGGAGCCCGAGCCCTTACTTGCAGGTCTTGCTGCTTCCTTGGCATTCAAAGTTGTCGAACAGACACTCGGCCGTGTTGCACAGCTCGTCGCACTGGTTGTTGATGTAGTCCCAGCAGGGCAGCGGGGAGGAGCAGTTGGCCCAGGGGTCCTCCATGGTGAGGGAGCAGTCGCCTCCGTCCCACTGGCAGGCGTGGCTGTTGCAGGCCTCGTCGCACACACCGTCCCGAGCTTTGTCAGCGCAGTACTGACTCGCGCAGGTGACAGAAGGCGTGCTGGTAGGGGCCGTGTAGAACTGACAGCGGCTGCCCCAGAACGGGGCAGAGCAGTGGCAAGAGTAGTACGGAGGCTGGCGCTGAGGGGAGCAGCTGCCCCCGTGCTGGCAGGGGCTGCTGGCACAGCCCGACTCGCATTCCTCGGGGTTGGGGCAGAAGCAGCGGGGCCCGGAGGCCGTGTGCACACACTGCTCCCCTTTCCTGCACTTCACTTGTCCACAGCTGCTCTGGCATTTTGCTCCCGAGAACCCCTGTGGGAAACGGCAAAGAAAGAGGACGGTGGATGGGCTTGAAGGTTTGCCCCGTTCTCCCTTCAACCTCTTCTCCTCCACGCTACGGAGAGTAAGACTAAAGCCTCGGTGTAAGTTTCCTCCATGTCGCCTCTGGCACCAAGTTTCAGGAAATGACATCTCTGAGGCAGCCAACAGGGGTGAAGTGAGGACTCCAGGGGGTGGCTGTGGAGTTCGCTCACTTTGAGTTTACTTGTAGGAGTTCAGCCCACAGGGTGAAGTAGAAGAAGGGCTGGGCACCCTTATATCTATCGCCAAGCACCTCCCTAACCACGTTTAGCTCACTCCTCCTATGGCTGGGGGCGGAGACCCTACCCGAAGCTTCGGATCTCTAGAAGAATTTTGCATCTCGCTTCATTCTTGCATTTCCTGCTCGGTCCAAACCAAAGTTACCGGATAAGTTTCTTTTTGCTTTTTCTCCACACATAGTAATCTCTGTTTTAGAGAACTTTCAGCCTTTGTCAGTAGTGAAAGTGTTTGCACAGCAAATGACTAAAATTAAACTTTCTTATAGCTTAAGACGCAACTTGCTCCCAGTGGTCCCAATGGTCCCTCTAAAGAATAATGTTTCATTCACACTGGATAGACAGTGGCCCTAATTCAAGGAGACATCCCATCACTTCTTGTGGAGTTTTTCTTAGTGCGCTAAAGGCTGTCAGCGACTGGGAATCTCGCAGTTCCTAGGAATACCTAAACAGCTTTCCATGGAAAAATACAAGCTGGAAACTGAGAAATCTCCCCACTGAGGAACTTGAAAAACCCAGGTTTGAGCTGCTTGGAGGCAGACTGTATGGAAGAGAACATGCATCTTGAATCAGCAGCGGGCTACTTACAGGAGGACAACGACAAATGAAACCATCAGGCATGTTGCTGGCCACAGAACAAGTCCCTCCATTCAGACAAGGCATCTGAGGACACACATCCACGAAGGTTTCACAGTGACGGCCTCAAGGCAGAAAATAAAAAGCAGTTTCAAAAGGCAGAAATGGAAACCTCAAATTACTGAAAAGAACCCCACTGGGATGGGAGCCAAGCGCAGACCGGAGCAAGGGGTGGGAGTTCAGCTCTGAGCCGACAGGAACTGGAGGAGACCAAGCAGGTAACGCCATGGATGACAACCTGACAGGCCACGGCTGACACAGCCAAGCCCTCCTGTCTACACGGCAAACACAAGGTGCACACCCTCAAAGCTGCCCACAAGGAGGAGTGGATGTGACTGAGCACATTGAAAAAAAGAAGGGGAAAGTAAAATCACACCTCAGTTTTTCAAGGTACTGTAGATTTAAAAACTGAAAGAAATGGTTAACGAACTGTTCATGACATTCTGTTAGTATCTTCTTCACAGGACAGGCTGTACCAGGTGAATGTACCCAACTAGGGACTGGCAGAGAATTTTCATCCGTGACGTCTCTTTTCGGGGATTTTGGATCTTGTGTAATATGTCTGGTTTGCTTAAAATGCAGCTTCATTTTCCCAGAGTTAATTTACCAGAAACAAAAACTGTTTTTTTGTTCAATCCTTCCCTGCAGTGGCATGACATAATCGATATATAACATCTTGGGAAAAACAAAGGCAGCTATAGATTGAAGCATCCACAGTGCACAGACCTCGCCAAACACCGGGGTTCGGTTCTTCAGCTAAGCTGGTCTAGCTTTCTGGGTACAGGAAAGACACCCCCCAGGGCTGGGACAAGTCACCAGGGCCCACTCCGCTCGCTGGAGCCTCCGCTGGGGCTGGGCGGTGGGGCCTCACCGGTGAAGGCGCTTCGGCAGACACACTGGTAGTCATTGGTGAGCTGGATGCAGTCCAGGCTGCCCTCAGAGCTGCAGGGGTTGGACAGGCACTCATTGATGTCCCCCTCACACCGCTCCCCAGCGAAGCCTGCCGAGCAGCGACAACTGAAGCCCCCAATCCTGTCCACACACTGGCCGCCATTGAGGCAGAGGGGTCCCCCGGCGCAGTCGTCGATGTTCTCTTCACAGAGCAGGCCTGGAGGACAGAGAAGATACGGATTTTGAAAAGCTTTGGAGCACTGGTCTCCAGCAAGGGACAGCCACCTTGCTGGGACTTTCATAATCCATCAGATTACACTCCTCAATCTATGTGGAACCTTTTACATCAGGCAGGGCGGAACACAAGGCTGCCACCTTCCTGATGAGCAATATGAGGAAAAAAACATGTTAGGGCATCACATCTTCTCCCCACGCAATCCGAAGACCTAGGTGTAGGTACGCTTATCTGTCCCAGGTAGGGGCAAGGAAACTGAGCCCATGGGAGGTGCGGTAATTTTTCATCAATTATCTTCACTTCAGCACAAAATACATAAAAACAGTTCAAAAAAAGGACAAAACTTAGTGAATACCTAGATCATGACTGTGTAAAAATACTGTTAAGAACTGAAACTGAATTTTGAACGAAAAATATTTGAAGTATTATAATCATTCATTTCTTTCTGCAAAATAGTGTAAGTTTTATTGTATCTCATTTGAAAACAATAAATAGGAAATATCCTGCTGAGAGTTCAATGGTGATTCTAACTAAAATAGAACTACCATACCACAAATGTAACCGAGCTATCTTGGATGAATAATTTCAAACATTCTTTAGAAAGACAAAAGAAAGATATCAGTAACTTTTAGACACTATTCTGGCTAATTTTAAAAGTTACAGCCGGGGATTTAGCTCAGCGGTTCAGGGGCCTGCTTCGCAAGCACAAGGACCCGAGTTTGGTCCCCAGTACCAAAAAAAAAAGTTACGAAAACAACCAGTTCTATATTCCTGCCATTTGCATTTGTAGTATACATTAAAAGAAGACTTAAAAAGAAAAAAAAGAGAAAAGTAAAGTAAATTTCATTTCTCAACAGCAACTGGAAATATAAAAATACCTATGAATGGACCAGGGAATTGGCTCAGTGGTTCTGCCCCCTTGCCTCGCAAGCGCAAGGACTCGAGTTCGATCCCTGGTACTAAAACAAACAAAATACCTACGAATAATTTTAATAAGAATGTGCTGCCCTATCTGAAGACAACTTTAAAATTATCATGAGAGACACAAAAGCAGCCTTAATAGAAAGACATACCATTATTTGGTAGGAGGACTTCTTGTGAAAGTTATAAATTTTCTCTATATTCTATAGATTTACTGTGACCCCAGTAAAAATATACTGGAGGGATTCTTAAATAGACAAGATGATTATAAAATTACATAGAAAAATGAACCACAGAAAACATGAAGATCCTTAACAAGCAAAACAAGCTGCTGGTAGATTAATAGAACAACAGAATAAAAAAGAATGTCGAGAAAAACATCCAAACACAAACAACTTAGAATTTGATAAAAGCGCCATCTCAAAGCATTGCATAAAAGATCAAATATTCAGCAATCTGTAAGGGCAAGTTAGTAGCAATACGGAAAAAATGCTTACGTATTCTAGTAGTTGAAGAAAATATGGGTGAATTCCTTAATAACCTTAATGTGCTCAAGGTATTGCTAACTACACCTCAAAATCCAAAAGCCATAAAAGACTAGTGTTCAACCTTATTAAAAATAAAATTGGGCCGGGGATTTAGCTCAATGGTTCCACTGCCTGCCTCACAAGTGCAAGGATCTTAGTTCCATCCGCAGTACCAAAATAAATAAATAAACAAACAAATCACAAAAAATAAAATTAAAAAAAATTAAATCTTCATGAAAAAGAAATCACAGAAGTTAAAATTATAAACACATCTTATTCAATCTACCAATTCTATTTCTGAAAATTTATTCTACAAATATGCTTATACACATGCAAGTTAATCCAAATGTCTATTACAAGGGCACTAGTTAGGTATTGTTGTAGTTTATATATAGATGTCCCCGCAAAGCCTCATGCACTCATTGGTGGGATTTTTCGGAGCAGACCGGATCTGGGATTAAGGGTATGTGATACTAAATTAGTCCCCCACTGATTGGCTTTGCATAGTTCTGGGTGTGGAAGGCACACCCCTGGTGAGTAGCACCAATCAGTAAGCTTATAGCCTGGAATAGAATATAAAGGCAGAGACAGAAGGCAGGCTTGCTGCTTTGTTGCCTTCTGCCTATTTTGCCATGGACTATTTCTCCCTGCCACGCCACCCTACCTTGGAGCCAGCTGACTATAGACTGAAACCTCTACAAGTTATGAGCTGGTATAAACTTTTCCTCCTTTAACTTGTGGGTGTCAGGTATTCTGTCTCAGCAATGAGAAAGTAACTATGATAGGTATATATCTAGATGGCATGCTCATAAGGGGAAATCCTGAAGCTAGAAAAAAAATATTAAATAAAGTTTATATTTTCATATCGAAATATATCCCTGATTAAATTTTTTCAAACAAGAATAAAATAATCAGTCTAATAGTTTGTCTTCAGAGTAACAACTAGGAAAATAAAAAAAAAAAATCTCTTATTTTTAGCTTCCATGAACATGAAGAGTTCTTAAGGATACTTAAAAAAAACTAGAAAAACACACAAGAAACTTAAAGTGGTAATTACTGGCTTGGAAAACTTGGGTAAAGGGAGTGTCTTTTTACTGCATGCCTCTTATATGAATGTATACATATTTTTGGTCTATATGCATATATTACCTTGTTATCTAATTACAAATTAAACTGAATACAAGAAAGTAAAAACAAAATCTGTATGTGCTCCCAACCTCCTAAAATATTTGATATTTAGGGGCTGTGCCCTAGCTTCCCATCAGAATGGCACCACCAATAATGAACAGCTCCATCAAGTGAGAATGAACTCAAACTCAGCCTGAAGCAAAATAGCAGGGATGGGTAAAAATGTTACAGTTAACCCTTGAACTAGGGAACTGGATGACTATTGAGGACAAGACGCAAAGTTCAGGAGTACCCTAACAAAAACAAGTACTGTGGTAACTCTCACAGTGATATTATGAAACTTCAGTCTCCTGGAGTATACACCAGTGAAGTTAAGTTAGGATAAATAAATACGGTAAGTTCTACATACCTAAACAAACACATAGTCCAATATGTTCAATGACTAAGTAAAATAAACTCAAAGATAACTCCTGCAAAAATAAACTCCTGCACATATGATGATTAGACTACTGAAGGCAATGACAAAGAACCTTGACAACAAGAGAAGTGACATATTATGTACATGGGATCCTCGAAGACATTAACGACTAGTATTTTATTATCAACAATGGAAGGCAAAAGAGTGAGAAGACACAGTCAAAATGCTAGAAGAAAAATACAGTCAATAATAATTGTAAAACTATTATTACAAGCCAACTTTAAGAAATGCTTAGAAAAGGTAAGTTTATGGCCTTACGAAATGACCCATTCTTGGTCTGGACATGTCTAATAGATAAAGGTTGATGGTACTGTAGAGAATTTAGGTTAAGTGCATATCCATGTGCTCTCAAAGATTCCCTAGCCTCTGCAGAAGACAAGTAGAAATTATTAAATAAATTCTGACCATATACTATGAGAGCAGTGAACGCTGCTACATGACCCTGCATGTTTATCTTTCCTCCTTTCCTCTGGACGCCTTAGAAGCCAAGTGTTTTAAACCACATATATAAAGTCCAGAGTAAGGTAGCCCAATCCAATAAATACCGGGGTACATTGGAGTGACAAAAATCAAAACAAAAGAACAAACAATGTTGTGTTAAGCTCTGAGTTTTGAGGTTTAACCAGCTACTGCCAGAAATGCAACTTGTCCTGACAAATACAATAATGTAAAAGAATTAATAATGAATTGGAACTGACACTTCTCTTTCAGCGATGGATTTCTGGAATAAAGAATGAATCTCCTATATACATGACAAACTGTCAACTATCTAAACGCTATTTTCCCTTAGTTTTCTCTTCCCCTTTAACCTCACTCTTCAAGTACATAACTCCTCTACTAGCAGAGTATTCTTCTACCTTAATTCGGCCTGTCAAAATTCACCGACACAGAAGTCTAAAAGAATATCAACAGTTCTCTGAAATTCTTTTCTTTTCTATTTGATACTGAGGAGAATGAATAACTTACTACTGTAGATGGCTTTTCATGTATTTTCCCCCCACAGCCCCTTCAAAACAGGCACTTTCACAACTAGCTTCTCTTCTAACAAAGAGTAGCCAGAGTCGAAGTACTGGCAATGCCCACAGCAGAGAAATGACTCCACCCCTCACTCTAGGGCCCATTATGCCTTACTGCACTACAGTGGCATTTCTCAGGGCAGCGGTGGCGAACCTATGGCACGCGTGCTGCCGTGGGCTACTTGTATCATTGAAAACTCTAAAAGGTTGGCCATCACTGCCTTTATATCAGCCTCCTCCCCTGGATTATGAAAAAGTAGGCAAAGGTTTTCATTTCATCCATTCTCTTACTTTACAGAGGCTAAGACTTGGCTAGCTAAAACATACAAAAGCAGCTAGATGTGAGTTATTTATTCAAGAAGACTATTAACTGCTTTCACTTGAAGCGCCACGGGAAATCTTGCTGACTAGGCTAATTGTGTTGCAATATCGTATCAGTTACACATTCTGTTTTCTGGAATGTAAAAGGTCAAACCACCACCCGAAAGAACAGATAACATGAATCAGTGCTAGCAAGAGACGAGAGGGGAAAATGGCCTACATCACCAGACCGCTGAACTAAATGCTTGTAACGAAGCTAGTAACTGTCAAATTAAAAAAAAAAAAAATCCCTTCAACACTAAGAATGGATCTACAGCGTAGAGAATGGCTTAGGCAGAAGACGAACGAGGCCGATTCATACCCCGAGTGCCTGGCGGGCATGAGCACTTGAAATGGTTCACGAGGTCCACGCAGGTGCCTCCGTTCTGGCACGGCTGATTCTGACACTCATCTACTTCATATTCGCAGTTGACACCCTGGTACCCCGGAACACACTGCCAAGAAAGAGGAAGGACAGGGGACACTGGGTCACGACTGAAAACCACGTGAGGGCAAGTGAGCTGGGGCGTCGCTGTGGCCCTGCCCACTGCCCCAGCTCTTGCAGGCTCCTTTGGGATCCCCGCACCCTCAGCTCATCATGCAGCGCGCGGTCAAGCTCCAGCTTACGAACACTTATGCCCTTCTCTTCCAGCTGAAAAAGTCACTTTACAAAGGAGAAAAGGGCCGAATACGCTGAGGGTTATTTCCAACATGACTTGTCAGAGCTGTGCTTAGCTGTCCCCCAAGCCTTGTGCAGTTATAGACAGGGAATTTTCGGAGGTGGCTGATCTAGCATGTGTGACACTAGGACTAAGGGTGTGTGGTTACTACGTCAGTCCTGGTAGCTGAAGCAGAGTATAAAAGGGGCAGAAAGAAGCCGCAAAGGTGGCTTGGACTTGTTTCTTTGCTATTCTGTTGCTTTGCTGCCTTCTGCCTTCCAGGAACTGTTTCTTCTCTGCTGTGCCTGTCTGCGATCCCACCCTGCCTCAGAGCCAGCCAATTATGGACTGAAACCGCTACAAGCTGTGAGCCAAAATAAACCTTTAATCCTCTAACTTTGGGTGTCGGGTATTTTGTCTCAGCAAGGAGAGAAGTAACTATTTCAACTCCTATGCAAAATTTTTGCTCCCCCTTCTTTAAAAGATACATTCCAATTGTGCACAGGAATAAAGACATGGAATGCGTGAACCTCCAGCTTCATCTAACTACATGTATTTGGGGGAAACTGAAACAGGGATAAGGGCTGAAGATGGAGCTGGCTGGCTATGATTGATAGAAAAGTGATGGTGACGAGTTAACTTCGCCTAGGCCACATTTCACATGCCTGCATGGAGGGCAAGCCCCTCACAGCGTGTGACCATCCAGCGAGGAGAGCGAGTGGACTCCAGGAGAGGGAGAGGAAGCATGGGAGACCAGGGGATGTCACTCAGAAGCCCCGCAGCAGGTCTCTGGGTGGGAGAGAGCTGAAAGGCAGCATCAGCTGCATCTTTTCAGCCCCAGGCTTCATCTTATCAATGCCTCAGAGAGACTGGGTGTACTTGCAGGCTATGCCAGGTAGGCAGGATCTAAAATAAATGACTAGAATTTGCTTATTGCAGGTATGCTTAAAACAACTGGGTGTAAAAATTTCAGGTTAGCACTGACAGGCTTTTCAACCAATGGGCCCAGGCCACTATGAAGAAATAAACCACCAAGGAAATGGCAGGAAATCAAAGCCTTTTCTATGGCGTGGTGGCCTCAATTGGCATAAAATTCATCTCTGTTCTGTTCTGCAAACATTTTGTTCTAACAGCAGTCAGCCCAGGCGTTAAGACAGTGAAACACCCCTTAAAGACAAACCTTCCTGAAATATCCACATGCTGACACTTAGCAGGTGCTATGGTAAAACAGGTTGAGCCACTTTTTTTTTGAGAGAGAGAGAAAGTTATTAGCTGATTGTCGATAACTATATGCAAAAGTGTCTATGTTCAAAGTGGCTCAGTTGTCACTCAGGGAAGTTCCAGGAGCCACTGTGGTGAGCAGGCCTGTGAGATGCACCCTGGTAGCTGCTGGTTCCAAATCCTGGCAGCAAGCACGTTAAGGAAAATGGTTCCAGACCTCCATAAAAAGTCTTTGTCTAGGGCCGTACTAACACACTGCCTAGGGCGGCTGAAGGAAACAGTGGCAGTGAGCACGAGCAGGTGACCGGTAAGAATTCGTAAGCCAGGAACGTAAGACGCAAGCAGCTGAACTCCACACTCTAGCGTGCTCGGGAGCTTTAGGGTCTCGTGGGCTCACTGTCACCCTCCTCACCTCACATCTGTATCCGCCAACGAAGTCGCTGCAGGTGGCACCGTGCTGGCAGGGATTGGAAGCACACTCATCCAGCTGCCGTTCGCAGTAGCTTCCCGTGTAGCCCAGCGGGCACTGGCAGTGGTGCGTGTTGCCAGCGTTGATGCAGACGCCTGAGTTCCGGCACAGGTGCTTGGCAAGCACACCTGGGAGGTCGGTCCAGAGGGGAAAGAGGCATCACAAGAGGGCAACTGAGACACGTCCGATTCAGACTCATTCATGGGCAAGCAAAGCTAAGCTGCCTGACATATCCGATGTTACTCTTGTCTAGTTTTTCACAGATCTCACTACTAGATCTGTATTAAAAACAAACTAGCCCTGAAAGTGGAATATGCCTTTGTTTCCTTTCAAATAATTTGCCTTTCGCTAGCTCTTCAGCCTACTCCTCTCCCCTTTCTCAGAGCTGTGCCCACTCCGATTGTCTTTCCCTCCTTATTCTACAATAATAATAACAACATCTGCCTGAAAAATGCCACTGACCAGTCCATCCTGGCGTGGGTGGCCCTCCGGCCCCGGGAGCAGAGCTCACCTTTACTGCGGGCTGCCGTTTCACAGGAGACATCGGGCACGTCACAGTAGGCACCAGTCCACCCAGATGGACACAGGCACCGGGACTCGGCCTTTTCCTGAACACAAGAGCCGTGGTTTTTACATGGAGACCGGCTGCAGAGATTCACCAGGGTCTGAAGCAAAGGCAGGGGTGCAGACACATCAAAATCCAAATACCAGAAAGGAAGAAAGGAAGTTCTACACTGTTACAAGAAATCAAGGAAAGTACATGAATTTTAAAAACAGGAATCCCCACATCCAAGCCTTAAATTACATGCAGTATTCCAGGTGCAACTCATTATTTTTATAGCCTTCTTTCTCTTTGTTCTGCTATTGAGAAAGTTGTTGGCACGGAAGTTTAAGAATTCGGGAAAACCCAATAGGTAAAGTTATTCTCAGCACTCGAGCTACAACTGTGTCCATGTATACAACCATCCAGTAGGGCTACAAAGGGAGAGGTGAAGCTGTCAGACTCCTTGCGTGGATCCTTCGCAAAATCCACTCGGGTCTCGGCCAACCCTGTCTGGGGTGAAGATGGGTAAAAAGATCTGAAGCCTTTTTACAAATCTAGAATGGTCAAAGAGCTGACTTCTGAAGGGGAGAAAGTCAGGTTTACGAGAAACACAAGGCAGTCACAACAGAGACACGTGGGTGTGACCAGAACCAGCCCTGGGAGGGACTCACAGAAGCATGCGCTCCAGAGCCAGACCCCGCACCCAGGAGCCAGCCGTCTGCCCCTCCTACAGAACCCAAGCCGGTCTGAAGGGTGCCCTACGCATGGAGTTAAAGCCTGACATCTACTCCCAAGTTCTCTGGAGTTCTGTTATTCTCTCATTCTTGCAAAGGTAAAGTTAGCATAAAATCGAGCACAGTGCTGTTTGCAATCCAGGTACTGGCTACTTGGAAAAGTTGAACTCGGGGGGGGATGGATCTAAAGTCACGTATTGCTCCTCGGAAGCTCAGTTTCTCTTCCGGAACTGAAAGTATAGATTTGATTCTTATGAGGACTCCTTCAACCCTAAGAGTCTATGAAGATGTGTACATATTTAAACTTGTTGTTAGTAAGTGCTTGTAGTGTAAGGATAACATTCTTCACGGGGAGTTGGTTCATGTACACAACACATCTTAATTCTTTGTACATCCCCTTCCCCTCCCCTCCTGCCCTCTCCTTCCATCTCTTGGTCCTTTTGCCTTTTACAAAATATCTATCTTCCTGTTTAATATTACCTGTAATTTACCTGGCTCTTTATATATTTGGCTTTCTCAAATAAGAGAAACCCTGTGATATGGAAGCTTGGGAGTCCGGTTTACTTCACTTGGCATTACAGTTTCAAAGCACACTCATTTTCCTGCTAATGTCTCATGTAGTTTGGTGTCAAGACTGCTACAGCCGGGCATGTTGGTGCACGCCTCTAATCCCAGCACTCGTGAGGCTGATGCAGGAGGATCGCTGTGAGTTCAAGACCAGCATAGTGAGTTCCAGGTCAGTCTGAACTACACAGTGAGACCCTGTCTCAAACCTGCCCCCCACCCAAAAAAAGACTGCTACAACATGGCAAGTCAGGAAGATGCTGTGCTTGACCTTTAAAGATTTGATTGCTTCTTCCTCTTTTGTGCCTATTTCCTACACATATTTCTTTGGTCTTTTATTAGCCTCCAAAAATTTTACGCTTGTTCAGCCCAAACACCCACCATCTGATGAGTGGATAAAAAAGATGTGATTTTTTTTATATAATGGAGTACTACACTGCCACAAAGAAGGATGAGCTTCAGACTTTTATAGCTAAATGGACGGACCCTGAGACCACTCTCTTAAGTGAAATAAATCGGACAAACACGTTTCAATACTGTATTGTTTCTCGGCTGTGAGAAACTGAACGTGGAAATAAGGACTGAGTGTACAATGGAGGTTGGGAAATGGACGGGAAGGGTACAAGGAGGAGGGAAGGAAAAAGGAAGGGACAAGAAAAAACCGCAAACAGAAGGAAAAAATGGAAACAAAGGTATGTACACGGGGAGGGGAGGGGGCTTGAGGAGGGAAAGGGATGAGATAAAACACACAAAAATTTATGTTTGTTAATCTACATTATACTGATAGCATCCCCAGTTTAGAATACAGCTATGAAGAAATTACCCACATTTGTCTCAAGGATGCCCTGAAGACCCACACTTCTCTCTTTTAGAAGGGGCTTATTCTGTACAGGCAGGAACACAAGTAATAACTAGCGACTCTGCAGGAGCTGAGTGGAGGGGAAGGAAGTCAATTACCTGGCAGTTCTTCCCAGTGTAGCCCAAAGGGCAGGTGCAGCGGTAGGTGCCCAGGCCGTCCACACACGTCCCCTCGTTCAGGCATGGGTGAGAGTTGCATTCATTGATCTCGTGAAGGCAGAAGGGACCAGTGAAGCCCACAGGGCACAGGCAAGAGAAGGAGTTAATTCCATCCACACAGGTGCCACCATTGAAACAGGAGCTGAGGAACAAGGGGGAGCAACATCAGCTAGGAAACGGCTTCCTCTGACCTGGTATTTGCAATGCGAAGTTTCTGGAGTCTGTAAGATATTACAGCAGCGATGTCCCTGAGCATCCCAAACCCCCACATCCAGTAAATTTTACTTTCTTCCATACTAGACTAGAACCAATATTCTTTCTACAACCAAAGGTTTAGGAATATGTTAAAAGGCTGAGCATATTGGAGATTTCTAGGGAAAGGGAAATTTTCTGGGTTTTGTTATCCTTCTGTAGTTTTCCACATCGTAGTTTATCACTGAGTAAATTTATTTTATATAAAAATGTTAAGCAAATGCTCTTAACTCTGAATTTCTTTATGAACGAGAAACAGAACAAGTATGTTGAAAAAGAAATGAAACAAGCCTCCCAGAGATTACTTAAAGAGTGGTAACAAATCTGCAAAGAAATGGGAATTCTTAGAATGAGAGACCAAAGGGAAAATAGAACAGAAGTATAGCTCTTTCTGGTCTCTAAGCAGGGTTTTGAAGCTTTTCAACCTCTGACCTTTTACTTTCTAACTTCACCTTTATCTTGTCAGGTGTGGCAGTGCGTGCCTATAATCCTGCACTCTGGGAGGATGAGGCAGGAGGATTCCAAGTTCAAGACTAGCCTGGGAAACTTGGAGACTTAGGGAGACCCTGTCTCAAAAACTAAAGAGGTAGTCTGCGGATTTAGCTCAGTGGCGCCGTGTGTGCCTCAAAAGCACAAGATCCTGGGTTTGATCCCCAGTACCAATCCATCAGTCAAATAAAGAGGCTGGGGATGTAGCCCTGGGCTCAATCCCCAGGACTGGAAACAAACAAACAAAAAAATGAAATCCTTTCTGTCTACTGGGAATCGGGGTGATGGGTGATGGGAGGTACCTCTAGAGTGGGGCCCACCAGAGGCCTCTTCCTGCCCCACGGGCCCAGCACTGTACTCTGAAGCTTTCCCCTCCCTCCCTTGCCCCCGGCAGACAGCAATGCCCAAGCGCTGCTTACCTCTCGGTGCACTCGTCAATGTCGTTCTCGCAGTGGACCCCATCGAAGCCCGCCTGGCACCTGCAGGTGTAGCTGTTAACATAGTCGGAGCAGGTCCCCCCGTTCTTACAGGGCTCGCTCTGGCACTCGTTCGTGTCGGTCTGACACTTATCCCCAGCGAAGCCAGGGAGGCACATGCAGGAGAAAGCGTTTGTGCCATCCACACAGGAACCTCCGTTCTGGCAAGGATCTAAGCCGTCGCGAAAGAATCAGAGCTCAGAACAGCAGCAGCCACTTAACTTAGACTCGTAAAGGGGAGCGACCTAAGTCATGCCAAGGGGAGCACAACTCTGACTTTTGTCCTTGGCCTCTCCAACACTGCTTTGTCCTGAACCCTTCATTTATGAAAATACACTCAGTGACACATGTCTGAGGTTTTAACTGGCTTGATTAATGGGATAAAATTAATCTATATCCTAACAATTTTAAAGATTAATTGAATCATAAAACTTTCATTGTCCCCCCCCCATATTTACAATCAGATATGGATATCAGGAGTCTCAATCAATATTTTCAAAAGGTATATGTGGTGATGAGGTGGTTAGTGGAAAACAGAAAAAAAATATATGTAATTCTTTGTTCAAGAAACGTAATTAATCATTCCCCACGCCCCTTACTCTCCCTGCCTCTCTCCATCTCTGTTTCTTTTAGATGTAAGTAATTTTAGGAAACAAAAATATTTTAAAGCATTTTAAAATATCACACAGCCTGATTTTAGAGCACTTCACACTCGCAGCAAAAGCCACAAATGTTGAACTACAATCATTCCATGGTCTATCACAATACAGAAGGCATACAAATCCACACAAGGAAATCCAAAAGATAGCTACTAATTACAAAGGCAAAGGTAAGTCATAAATTTACAAAGAAAACCGAACACTGAACTAAAGAATAAAGTGCCTCTATTTTGCTAAGGGGACATTTGATACACCTCACAGTCATTAAAACTAAATACATTTTAAGACTTATCCAGACAGTAGGGCAACCAAAAGTTTATTTCATCTTTTTTAAGCCAAGTACATAGTTACTATAATTTTCACTGACTGTGTCACTAATATTTACTGAATTATTTTAAATATTATTATAAACATTGCTGCTCCCAATTCATTTAGGAAGAAACTTTACTAAATATTTGGCAATGAATGTGGAAAGGAATCCAGATAGTTGGAACCCGTTTCCTAATTTCTCCATCAATTGTGCCTTGAACATGGATTTTTGTCACCAGTAGAAATTTTTAAACTATTTGTTGGCATGTCTTTCTTCCCTAATGGGGCTTCAAGAAGGCCGGGATTAGGTCTTCACTTATCTTGGCACTGCCAGCTCCAAGTCTACTGCCCTGCACACGTCATCTGGATTGATACGTCCTACGATAGGAGACGCTACAGTTCTCAATGTATTATGACACTCACTTAAGGGCCACACAAGCACCTGGGCACTTGCATGTGGTGAAACTGTTAAGGCTGGAGGAAGAACCACCAGAGAGGAGGACGCAGGATAATTCACAGAGTTTTCACTGGACTGAGAATAGTCCGTGTGCATTTAGCGAAAATGAAACAAGAGGCACTGAGTAGAGTCTTTAGGGAGTACAGTACCTTCGTAGCAGTGAACTACATCGACCCTACCAAAAGGCTGCTTTGTACCTATGTAACAATCCAAAGTAGACTCAAAAGAATCAAACTGCTTCCAAATAACTGAATCCCTAAATGAAGCTTAAAAATACCGTATTTAAGAGATCTTTTAAAATTCAGCACATGGTATAATGTAAAATTGACAATGATTGTGATTCAGTAAAAAACAAAAACAAACAAACAAACAAAAAAAAACCTGCCAGGTAGACAAAGAAACAGGGAATAATCTTTCTAAGAGGAGACAAATCACGACTGCAAAAAGAGCCAGGAATAGCTCATGTGATAAAACGGTAGGTAAGGACAATAAAACAATTACTGACAACTATAAAACTGCTAATTTCCACATGTTCGAGAAGAAAAGCATGAATATGACACACAGAGATAAAGTTATAGGAAAGACTCAGATTGAAATTCTGGAGGAAAGAAATAAAATGTCTGAGGGAAAAGTACAGGATGGGATGAACAGCCAACAAGAGAGTACAGATGAAACAATACATGAAGTTGAAAATACAGCAAGACAACTTCAAATAAAATAAGATACCAGGGGTGAGGGAAGAAACCCTTAAAAAGAAGTTTGGTGAGTAGAGAGAGGGTCAACTTCAAAAAGTATAACAGATATCTAATGAAAAAGGAGAGGGGGAAATTTTCTTTAAAAACTAATATTTGAATGTTTTCCAAATCTGGACCCGTGCATCTTAAAAGATCAGGGAACCCCACATCAAAGGAACATGAGAACACTACCAACAGGCTCAAAATAAGTAGAAAGATCATATCTCAAAGGTAACTATAGGCAAGGAAATTATACATAAAGGAGTACATGAAAGAGTTACAGATCATTTCCCCTCAGAAATAATCAAGCAGGACAACTTCACAGTGCCAAGGGGAAAGTCAGCTAGAATTCTATTTTCTGTGAAAATGTCTTTGAAAACTATAGCAAAATCCGACACATTCAGACGTACAAGAGCAGGCAAAAATTCACTGCCAGGAGACAAGCACTACACAAAATGTTAAAGAAATTTCTTCAGACACAAGGAAAATGAGACTTGATGGACACACAAATCTACACAACAGAATGAAACTGTAAGTAAATATGCAGGCAAAATAAGGATTTTAGAATTATTTTAAAATTTCTTTACCACTTAGACTTTTTGTTTTGTTTTGCTTTGGTATTTTTTTGTTTTTTTGAGACAGGGTCTCCCTATGTAGTTGAGACTGACCTGGAACTCACTAGTAGTCCAGACTGGTCTCGAACTCACAGTGATCCTCCTGCCTCAGCCTCCTGAGTGCTGGGATTACAGGCATGCACCACCACATCCGGCTTTATCACTTCAATTTTAAACTTGTCATTTTAAATAATGCATCGCTTAAAGCAAAAGTGATGTATGTGAAGGTTTCATGAGGTGCAAATTATGTATGAACGCAGGAGGAGTGTGATACAGGTTTACTGTGATAAGGCTCTTTTCTCTATATGAAATGGTAAAACTGAAGCAGAGCATAATGATCTACAGCTGCATACAAAGGCCTCACCACAAAAGGGAGGCACCTAACCTGTTAGTGAGGAAGTAAAAAGTCATCATAAAAAGCACCCAAAAAGATGGCCCTGTTACAGTGGGGCAAGAAAGTGAGGCCCAATATACTCTTTGTTATGAGAAGTCTCGAACTCAGTGATCCTCCTGCCTCAGCCTCCTGAGTGCTGGGATTACAGGCATGCACCACCACATCCGGCTTTATCACTTCAATTTTAAACTTGTCATTTTAAATAATGCATCGCTTAAAGCAAAAGTGATGTATGTGAAGGTTTCATGAGGTGCAAATTATGTATGAACGCAGGAGGAGTGTGATACAGGTTTACTGTGATAAGGCTCTTTTCTCTATATGAAATGGTAAAACTGAAGCAGAGCATAATGATCTACAGCTGCATACAAAGGCCTCACCACAAAAGGGAGGCACCTAACCTGTTAGTGAGGAAGTAAAAAGTCATCATAAAAAGCACCCAAAAAGATGGCCCTGTTACAGTGGGGCAAGAAAGTGAGGCCCAATATACTCTTTGTTATGAGAAAACCATTTTAGAGACGCAGGTCAAAGATAAGAAGACAAAAAAATACACTTCCTAATAATAACTAACAGAAAGCTAGAGGAGCTATATCAGCATAAGGCAAAGTAAAATTCTGAGCAACAAATATGACAAGGATTAAAGAAGGTCACTTAATAATGACAACAAGGTTAAAAGTGCAAGGGGCCACAACAACCCTGTGTAAGTATGTGCTTCTTGCCACAGCTTCCAAATAATTAAGAAAAACTAAGAGAAATACGTAAATATAGAATGATTTGGGGAGATTTCAACCTCTTTCTACAAATAATTGATAGGATAAGTAGACAGAAAATCAGGGAGGATACAGAAGATCTGAATAACACTATTAACGGATTTGAATTAATGACACTGTAAATTACTCAGTTTAGCATCATATTACTAGAAGAATTAAGTTTGTAGTTTGTAGTTAAAAACTTTACCAGAAAGATAATTCCATGCCTCATTTTTTGGAATAAAAATGTACTAATTATATACAAAGTCTTCCAGAAAATAAAAAGGGAGAGAAAAAGTATAAAACTTTTAGAAAAAAAAAATAGGAGCTAAATCTCAGTGACTTTGGATTAGATTTGTTAAATAAGATATATGAAACAGGAACTATAAAAGAAAAATATGCCAAGCCACGGATTTAGCTCAGTGGTTCTGCTGCCTGCCTCACAAGCACGAGGTCCCAAGTTGGATCCCAGCACCAAAAAAAAAAAAAAAAAAAAAAAAAAAAAAAAAAAAAAAAAAAAGAAAAAAGAAAGAAAAGAAAAGAAAAAGAAAAATACTCCAAAATTCAAAAAAATCTGAAACACTCTGATTTCAAGCACTTCAGATAAGGGATGTACAGACAGAATATTCATATAGTGAGACAGTACTCATCAATAAAACAGAATAAACTACTGATAAAACAGCAAAATGGAACAATCACAAATATTACACTGACTACAACAGGTCAAAACCTCTCCTCCCCAAAAGAGTGTGCTTGTATGACTGCATTTATATAAAATAGCAAAAACAAACAAACAAACAAACAAAACAAAACCACACAGCTAATCTGTAGTGACAGAAAGTAGACCTCTGGAGGTGCAAAACAAGAAAGTGAGCAGGAAGATTAAGCTACAATGGGATGAAAATACTTGTGGGGGACAAACGTGCCCATTATCATAGGCAGTGGTTTTGAGTATCGTATCCTAAAATTATACACTTACAATACTTAAGAGTTTATTGGATTGTCTCTCAAAGATACACATGAGAAAACTACCACAGTACTGTCCCTATTGTGTCTACCTTCATAACGTCATAGAGAAATGCTCAACAGAGATTCTATTGCCTTGGTTCCTAACCATTAACTCTAAAAGGAAAATTTAAAAACATCCAACAAACACCAGGTGTAGTGGTGCACACTAGGGAGGCTAAACCAGGAGGATCTTACATTGAACCAAGACTGAGCAACTTAAGGACACCCTATCTCAAAACCCAAAATGAAGTTTAAATTTTGGGGGGGTACTGGGGATTGAACTCGGGTCCTTGAGCTTGCAAGGCAGGCCACCGAACTGCTGAGCTACATCCCCGGCCCTTGAAACTCAAAATGCTAATGTCGCTAATTAAATCCCAAGGCCCACACACACCCCAAAAATTAAATAAATAAATAAATAAAATGACAGGTGTTGCCAGGTCGGCATGAGAGGCAGCAACGCCCCCAGAGTCCGTGCCCTCCACTCCCTGCCAGCTGCATCCCCCTGGGAGGCGCAGCAGCGGCCGGCACACTCACTGGCAAGGCAGTCGTCGATGTCCTCCTCGCAGTCCACACCACTGAAGCCAGGGGGACACTCACACATGTAACTGCCCCGGGTGTTATGGCAGACACCGTGGTTCAGGCAGGGCTTGGAGACGCACTCATCAACGTCAGTCGTACATCGCTGACCTAGAAGACACAAGGAGCAATGAACTGCCGGCCTTTGGAAGCTGATTCCCAAAGAAACCTATGTGGAACCTGAGCTTAGCTGGGTGTGTGTGTGTGTGTGTGAACACAACAAGGCTAGAGGCTTTGTATTCCTGGGAGGTTTCTGCCAAAACGCCCTCTAGAAAGAAAACCATCGTTTGAAACTTCTGCTTTGGAGTCTTCAGCCACTAGAGGGCGCCCAAAGACATGGAGAGTGCATTCCACTCAGCAACTCCTGAGCAAAGACTGAGCGCTTGACAACGACCAGCAGGCAAAGACCTGGGCAGGGCCTTGGTGTCACCTGCTCACCTGACCATTCTATGTAAAGCTCAGAAAAAATTGGCTTCTCCACCCCCAACGCTATTACCTTGCCAGCCAGGAGCACACAAGCAAGTGTAACTCTCAAAATTTGGTGCTTCTTTACAAACAGCAGCATTCTCACAAGGGTTTGGGGAACAGGGAGCCAACACCGTTTGACAATTCTTGCCTGGAAAATAAATGACAGAGTTCATGGTAAAGAATCAGCCAAAGAAAGAACAATTTCCCCAAAGCGTATGCCTAGGATGCTTTCAGAATTTAAGTCTAAAGTAGTGGTCTGGAGGCTCTAGAATCTGAGGGACCCATGGTCTTTTCAGTCCTGGTCTTACACTGCTGAGTGTAACCCTTGGCAAGTTATTTATCTTCTTTAAGCCTTCCTCACAAATAAAAAAGAATTAGGATGTTATGTAACTCAGATAATGCAGAAAAGTCCTTATTTGCTAATTAGGTGCAGAGAATGAGCATTCAAATGCTATTAGGGCCGGGGATGGGATTTAGCTCAGTACCTGCCTCAAGTGCAAAGGTCCTGAGTTCAACCCCCAGTACAGAAAAAAAAAAAATGCTATTAGGCTGATCACCTTTCTGCAACTCCATGGTTAGCACTTAGCTACACAGAAGCTCAGCTTCACAAATGCACCTTTGTGTCACCAAGGAAGTAACAGCAACATAGCCTCCTGTGCCTCCAACCCAGCTACCCTGTTCCAGGGAATGGGGTTGACCAGAAGGCACATTAGAGGTGGCAAGCAGGGAAGGGACTCCAACTTCTGGGCAAGCTGTCTCCTTGGAATGATAGCAACATGTCACTGCTATCTGGCCACCAACACTTCCTACCTTAGCATGTTATAAGCTTCCAGCAAAATAATATTAAATAAGAATGCTTCCATTAAAAGAGGCTGTTTTAAGGTCAAATTATAACCAACTTGGGCTAGGGATTTAGCCCAGTGGTTCCACTGACTGCCTCACAAGTGCAAGGTCCCGAGTTCGATCCCCGGTACCAAAAATTATATATGTGTGTGTGTGTGTGTGTGTGTGTGTGTGTGTACGTTATATATGTACGTATATATATCCAATTCAACTTTAAATTTATTCTAAAATTTTGTATTCAGAAAGAAAAAAATTACTATAACATTTCACCAAAATGGCACCAAACAATTTTTTAGTATTTGGTCAAAATAGTGACCTACAAAGGACGGCAATGCAGCTTGCTTCCCTTTGCTGGGAAAACGCTACAAGCTTAGGCATTTTAGCCACATGGAATTAAAATGCTAATCTGCATACAGTCTGTAGGTTAGATTTGTTTCTCCAAGGCCACACACTGCTAACTCTTTAATTGGATCATTCTCTCATGAAAGCTCTACAGCCAAATATTCTCAGTGTATCCAAGTAGCTTAAGGGTAGGTAATACAGGTTTTCTCAGGACGAGTGGATGTCTGTAACACACAGCAAGCAATCCTGTGTGGTGGCTGAGTATGGTCACAGCTGCGTATATGTTCCCACGGTTGTCAACTCGGAATCTTAACAGTCACAAGGTGATCTCACAACCAAAAACTGGTATCAGCACTGCCTCTGCGGAATGACATTATTCACACTATGCTCGGTCTAAGGTTCATGTGAATCTTCTGTAACTCTGATTTTATAAGCCCGGTAGGTTAAATGTGGTCTCCCTACAGTAGTATTCTTTTAGCTTGGTGCAGACAGCCATAGAGAAGAGAGTCTTTTCGTTAGACTTGGGGTCCTCCTGCTGCTCTACACAGCTCAGGGTCACTATGCACTACCACTAAAAGTCCAAGCCTCTGGGAGACGACTAAAATGGGCATGAAACAAGCGGGGTCATGGTCCACATTTTCGTTTTGTTCCCAAGGATGAGGAAGAGGTAAGCAAGGCATATACAAGCACAAGCAATCATGGGATGGCCATGATAAGTGAAAACAAAAACAAGAAGAAATGCCCCAGGCACACAGCGATACACCACTGAAATGGAGAACACATGACATGAAATGAAACCACTTTCCCCTTCTCTGTGTGTAAACCAATCACAGGGTAACACTTCTGAGTGAGACAGAGGTACTGAGTATGGGGAGAGGAATGGCAGCTGGCAGGACTCAGGCTCTTACGGGAAATCCGAGGTCTACGCTTACTTTTCTGAGCTCCCTTTGGCTCAGCTTTCTCACGTGTAAGTCAGTGACAGGAAATTGTACATCCCAGAGTTACTGAAGATAGGGTTACACAGCCTAAAGTGGAAAGCGTGTGCGGGTTCAGCAGCAGAGCTCTTGCTCAGTCCAAGTGAGGCCCTGGGTTCAATCCCCACCACTACCTAAAATAAAGCGCCTAGTGCACAGTAAATTGCCAATAAATGCTCACTGAGTTCCTGAAATTTAGACTAAGAGCAAAATCAATGCAAACATGTGGTCCATTCCAGGGACAGACAAAGCTATCAGCTATGAAACAGGCTCCAGCCAACATCATTTTTTAAAAAATTCTAACTCCAAAGCACAAAGAGGGCCAACGGTGTCTCCGTCATAGTGTTTTCTCAAAACTCAACATGCAGTCAGCAAGCGCAGGAAGGACAGCCACAGGGAGGGACTCCTCGCAGCAGCGCCGTGCCCCAGCGCATTCCCCTGACCGGACACATGCACCGACGTGACAGGCCACCCTGCTGGCAGCCGGGGCACCCACCTGTGTAGGGCAGCGCACACTGGCAAGTGTAGCCACTGATGTCGTCAAAGCAGGTTCCTTGGTTCAGACACGGATTGGACGCACATTCATCAATGTTCACCTGGCAGTTGTAGCCTGTGCACAAAGAAAAGGAGAGGAAACGGAGTGAAACTGTCCACCTTCTGGTTACCCGAATTTCCAACTCATTGTCTCAGGGGTAAAAGTTAAGACTGCATTTATGGCTTCAGGCCACGGTACACCTTCTCATTCATCTTGGTCACAAGTCCCTGACATACAGTAGTCAGCTGATAAGTGATCAACCAGTCAAAAAGATGGAGGGAAGAACAATCTGTTCTATTGGCCTGAAAACCTAATGCTCCTCCAAAAACAAGTAATTTCTAAATAACGGACGCGGAAGCTCCTTAAGGCTGAAAAGCAAGTTGCTTGATGCAAACAGGATGTTTTTATATAAAGAGAAAATACCTGTGAACATGATCAAAGCCTCTGGCTTATGCCAGTTTGCTCATCTGCACAGACTAGCGTCAAGGTGGCACCTCCTGAACCACAGAGCTGTTTCCTCCTGATTTGAAACATGAAATCTACTCCCAGCAAAAAGGGGGAAAAGTAATGAAGGACCATGGAGGTACCTTGTGGCCAATACCTCTGTACCTCTGACACAGTCTCGCACAGAGCCTTAAAGCAGACACTACAGCATCGTGACAAAGAGACCGATGGTCTAGGAATGCAGAGGTCTGGGTTCAGTTGGACTCGACTTCTCACAGGACATGCACACTTGGATTTTATATTTTGATTTTAAGTTTTCTCATTGATAACCAAGTCTCAATCAGATCAAGAAAGGAAGGTGCTGCTGTTGTTTTTGGTACCGGGGACCTTATACTTTTGAGGCAGGCAGCGGAACCACTGAGCTAAATGCCCAGCGAGGAAAGTGTTTTTGAACCTTCAAGTTTCTTTGTAAACATATGCAATATATCAGAAAATTAGTAACTGAAATATGGTCTCAGAAAATTTTTAGGTACAGGTTAAGAATCCCTTACCTGAAATGCTGGGTGTCAGAAATGTTTTCTACTTAGGAATGTGAGGAGGTTTGGAAATCTTACTTACCTACAGTGAGCTACCGTGAGGATAGAACCCAAGTGTAAACAGAAAATTCATTTATACTTGACATACTCCTTATACACATAGACTGAAGGTAATTTTATTTATTTATTTTTTAAATTTATTTTATTTTTTTTTCCAGCTTTAATTGAGTTTATTGGTACATTTTAGGGATATAGTACAGTTACATTCATTGTTGGGATCTTGTACCTTTACCTGACAAGTCTTGATTCTCATTTTTTCCCCTTACCTCTGCCCTCCCTTCACCCTGAAGGTAATTTTATTTATTTATTTTTTAAATTTATTTTATTTTTTTTTCCAGCTTTAATTGAGTTTATTGGTACATTTTAGGGATATAGTACAGTTACATTCATTGTTGGGATCTTGTACCTTTACCTGACAAGTCTTGATTCTCATTTTTTCCCCTTACCTCTGCCCTCCCTTCACCCTGAAGGTAATTTTATATGATATTTTTAGTAATTTTGTGACAAAACAAAGTTTCACACATGAGGTCAGGGGTGAACTTTCCACTTGTGTTGGAACTCAAAAGCTTTCAGATTTTGAAGCACTTTGGGATTTCAACATTTTGCACTGGTATGCTCATTCCATAATCAGATAAAGTAGCTCTAAAATGTTTTCATGTATCACCATACTTAACTATAGTTTTTGAGTGGGTAAATCAATGAGCAAGTGGATAGATGAGTATAAGTATAAATAATTCACCTAAACATCTCTCTCTTCTGAGTTTCTAAAAGCACACTGACAGTAGAAAATAACAGTGACAACTCAAAAAGAAGATTTTATATAATTCCTACTCCATGCCTTTTTCTAGAAGGTAATAGGTCACTAAGTATCTAAGAATATCTTCATGTATGTTGAAATACATGGCTAAATTATCATAGAATCAACGTAGTAAGAAACTTGCCATTAAACATGTACCCACAGCTGTGTAAGTGTCCTAACTGGCCAAATGAAATACTACTGTTTCAACAGCTTACCTCTCTGCTAGGTAAAGGAAGAAATTCTATCTACTCATGTTTGTATCCCCCAAGTGTCTCACACATTCTAACTGCTCAACATCTGCTACTGGATGGATGAGAAGAAAAAAATGGAAACGAGTGAGTCAAGCAGTACACACCAAGAAGACAATGACAGAAGTGAAAAGACGAGCTTTGTTTTTACCTTTAAAGCCTTTCTTGCAAGTGCATCTGTATCCGTTCACCAGATCATCACAGGTTCCTCCATTCTGGCACGGGTTGGAAAGACATTCATTTCTGTCCACTTCACAGTTGATTCCAACCCAGCCTGCATCACAGAGGCACTTGTATCTGAAAGAAGACAGAATTCTGTTCCTGTGAGAGGTCAAAAGCACAACTGAGCCACAGGAGCTGGTGAAGAAGTGAGGGGACAGATGAGTTCATGAGCTAATTTCATTTTAATCTTCTACAGCCACACGCTTGCATCACCACACACATGACATAAATAGTATGGGCCCATCTAGTGTTCGACTCACCAAGAAGTGAGCGGGTTGATTAATTATAGTGAAACCTCATATATAAGCAAGAGCTTTTCAGATACACTGGGCCGATCTGAAGGAAACACTAACATACATAAATCTGCTTGGTTTATTATATATAAAACAAAGGTAAGGCAAACTTTAGGATCCCTGGCTTCTGATGCAAAATAAATCACAGAAAATAGGTTCAGTGGAGAGACCAGGCACACTGGGGAGCTCCAAGGATGTCTTACATCTGAGTCATGCTCCGTTCTGACCTGAAACCCTGTCTCAAGGAAGCACTACAGTATCGAGCAAGAAAAGCACAAAAATGAAAATGTCTGGAAAAAAAAATATATATATATATCTGATTCTAATGCCTTAGCACTTAGAATATAAAATCAAAAGATGTTAGCCATGTCATTGTAGATCATGGGAACACAGTGGACGGGGAGGGGTGCTTTGAAGACTGGTATACACTAAAATATGAAGGCTGAGTTAATTCACTGTTTAAAAACTTTGTTTCCCGTGTATTTCTAAAACATTTTTTTCTTTCACCTGTTAGAAGCTTGTCAAATGGCAAAACTCAAATCCTTGTCTTATGGCACGCTCCAGGGACTGAATGAAGATTACCCCACAGTTCTAAAAGTTGCCGAAATATCATACAATTCTGAGGGGTATGCCAAGTATGAATATTTTACAAGAACTACGTTGGCTGAACCATTTCTACCCTGCAGTACACACAGGTACTAGGATAGAACAGAGCTGCTCTGTGTCTAAAAAGGGGGCAAAAATCAAGCTAGAACATTCCTCAAACTCAATCCTGTAATAAGTGTTAAAACACAGTTGCCAAAGACTCATGAAGTCTGGATTCCTCACACGAAGTCCTTCTGATCACTCATGTAAAGAAGACAATCCTTATTTTCCATCTAGAACATCGGCCATAGAAGGAAAGCCAACTTCATGGACTAGGTGACACTCTGGAAAGACTTTAAAACGGACTAGCAAAGCCTTCAGCCACGTTTCAGGTGAAGAAGTTTCCAACTGACTTCTCCGGGTTAAGTCTCCAGCTTCCTCTTCGCATTTTCACAAGTACTCAAGGCCAACCGGCTTGACACACATCAACAAGGGAACTACTGACACGCGGCTACTCACCCGCTGAGGCCCCCAGTGCAGTTCCCGTGGATGCAGGGATTGCTCAGGCACTCATTCACCTGCGAGTAGCAGCTGGGGTGATGGGGACCTTCGGGGCAGATGCAGCGGAAACCGTTCACATCGTTGATGCACGTGGCACCCTTGCGGCAGGGATTGGAAGCGCACTCATCGATGTCAATGTTACATCGCTGCCCTGTACAGAAGGGGCAGAGTTACCCAAACCCCAAGTGCTCAAGGAACAGACGGGAACTCTGAGACACAGATGTGACCCTCCATCTGCACAGGCTGTAAGGTGCCCCGGGGTGCCCAAGGTCAAGATTTCAGAAAGAAAAGATGCTCAAAAGCACCTCACACCATGCAGAGAAGATGCTAAGAGCATAGGCATTGATATGAGACTGTCACACTGCCCACTGCACCAAGGGGGCCACCATTAGTTGATAACAAAGCGAAGTTAATAAAACACCAAAACATTTGTAGCATTTCAGGTATGTATCTTTCTCCTTCCAACTTAGGGATGGGGAAATTTCACAAGGCATTGAAGCAGTGACAAAGGTCATCAATGTTTTAATATTGCTGTGAGTGTGCTCAATAAAGCCTTCATGGGCCGGGGGTGTAGCTCAGGGCCACAGCACCTGCCTGGCAAGCACGAGGTCCTGAATTCGATCCCCGGTACCAAAAATAAAATAAAATAAAACCGCCTTCATGACAGGCTTTCTGCTTACCAGAGCTTCACTACTTCAGTTAGCCAAGCTCTTACATTTCTGTGTGTAGTAAAATCACAATGAACTGGAATGCTCAATCAACAGACTGACTTAGGTTAATGATTAAACTAAGAAGAAAAGCTATTCTGTTTCCATTCTTACAGTTTTACTGATTTACTTTCTGCCTCAAGAAGCAGTCCCTACCCATAATTTTATAGTCCCCTGGTAACTGAGAAAATAATTCAGTGACTCCTGGTCTCGACCAGTTGTTCTCGATCTTCAATACGTGAAATACTTAAGTACTTCTAAACGAGATTCTTGGGTCCTATTGCCAGAGATTGTGATGCAGGCCTTTCAAACATTAGATTCTGAGAACTTGTGCCCTAAGCAATGATTTTTCACCTCTGTGACACTGCAGAGGAAGGAAGTGTTAGAAACTGGGGTGACTAAGCTCTTCCTTGACAACACACGCAGGACCGAAACGTGAAAGTGCATCTGTGACAGCCTTGGGCTTCGCTGCATTGGGCTAAGCAAAGTCATGTGTGTGAGTTCTACAAGTGTTTTGATTTGTTAAATTTCAATAATTGACGCTGAACTACATATTCTGAAACGATATGAATTTTTTAATTTCCCTTAATTCTATGAATCAGTGAAATCAAGCAACTGCTATGAAGGAATTTATACATTTAAAGACTACAATGCCCCTATTTAGATTTTTTTTTTAAATGCACTTTGTTTAAATTTAAGAAAGAGCAACCCTGCATTTAGAACAGGAAATTCCAAATGAAACCGATACACACCCTTTAAAGTATGGGTATTAACATTTTTTCACTCTCCATTGCTCCTCAAACCATTATTGGTGGTTCCTGTGGTGAAGACCCATAATCTGGAAGTGGTTACTCCTTTCCTCTAAGTGTTTTATTAAGCGTTCATTTAAAAATAGTTTTTCCTTGACCTCGACCACTGGTTCTTTGAGATGTTTGCCACTGGCACCAAGATATGAACCAGAGTCCAACTACAGAGCTGCCCCGGGCCTGCAGTGCACTGAAGGATGACAGGAAACAGCCTTGTTCAATGTTGGCCCTTTACAAGAAAGCACCTCCACCGACACCACTTCGCCCAAGTTTTCCTCATGTGCTGCTTTGCCTGTGTGCTGCGAGATGGGGGTCTCGCTGTGTTGCCCGCACTGACTTCGAATGCCCAGACTCAAGGGATCCTGCTCCTTCAGCCTCCTATTATTCATTCATTCACTCACTCATTCATTCATTCATTCAATGTGCTGAGCAACAAACTCAGGGCCTCACAGATGCTAGGCAAATGCTCCACCTCTGAGCTACCTCTGCGGCCCTTCCTTTGCTTCTGCTTTGAAACTTTTCCTGCAATACATATGCAAGCCATCTGTGTGGGAGAGGATTAAGCGCCTCCTTGCTCTGCTGTGTGGACCTGGCTGCTCCAAGAGCCAGGTCCCGCCCTCCCAGGGTCCATGCAGCATCAGAGACACCCAGTTCAACCAGGCACCCGCAGGGTTCGGAAATGACTGAAATGAGAGGCTATTTCATGTTTCCTACTCTGGAGGTGCTCAAGAATTGGGGTCTAATGAACGGTAGAGTCCAGACTCTAGATTCCGGGCTGGAGTCCTACTCATTCATCCGTCAATTTACCATGCACTTCCTCTGGGACAGAGACCGCTAACTGGCCTTGAGGGAGGTCCCTGCCTTCTGGAAATTCACAGTGCTCTCTCTGGTGCGGGAGCCGAAAACATGAGCATGGCCAAGTTCCATCGCTCAGCCTTGTTTGTTCAATGAGTGCAGCAGAGCTTCCTTTCTGGACTGTTAGAATTTAGGAAGCTAGTGGGCAGGGAGGTGCTTTAGAAAACAGAAAAGTTGTAGGACTAGTGCATGATTCCCTACTTCCCTACACGGGACCAAAAAGTATTGAGAAGTCCTAAGAGAACAGAGAATTTAGTTTTCAAAAAGAAAAATAAAAGCCTCCCTTATATCTTTCAGAGCTATTATTGAAGTGCTAGGGGAAAAGCATTAAAATAAAGGGAAAGAATAAGAGCACCTCACATTTACTGCTCATGAGTATGTGCCACAGTCACCTAAGGTATTTTCTGCAGTCGATTAAAAAAATAAAATCTCAGGCACAGAAAACAGTTCCAAGAACAAGTTACCAGCCAGTGACCAAAGCACAATATTTCTTTGTGATGTACTTCACACTACACCTTGTTTATTTTAGAATATTTTTAGCCAATGTCCTTCTTCCTTGACCTGGTTGGGTCTCCAAATGTTAAAAGAGAAATAACATGATTCACTGACATTTCAAAAATGAGTTAAGTGCAGTGGAAGGCCTTCCATAAATCCAAAAGGAAGCCACTACTGAGCAGTGCAGTGCAGGCAAAATGAGCCCTGGCACTGGCTCAGACCAGCAGGGGCCAAGTCCTAGCTGCGGGCACAGGCAGTATCCCTTCGCCTCTCTGACATCTGTACACAAGAATGACAACAGCTGTGATTAAGCGAGACATGGCATTCAGGTGAGTGTCTATCTCGAAGTAAGTCCCTAAATTAGCTATTCTTTTTACATTACCCGTTTAGCAACAATGCCTGACAGTGGTACCTAGAAGGTATTTTTCTGCATTTACTTGGTGCCCCTGATCTTGGAGCAACAGCTTTCTGGACACACAAGTCCATGAGGCTACTGCAGCAGTGTGGGGCTTGGGCATGAAAGCTCCACTGTAGCTGGCCTTTTAGAATCACTGAGCCCTACGGGAGCCACAAACATTACTGTACGGTGTCTACAGTCACACCAAGCAGTTGAAACGCTTGTGCAACAGAGAGCACAGTCCCCAGCAGCGAATGGCAGATACTGCCCTCACTTAACTCCGGCGGCCCTGTGACAGATTCCGTCAAAAGCTCTCCAAGGAGTTTCTCACCTGTGGAGCAAATGACCACACGGGGGTTATTAAAGGGTACTTTGTATCAGTGCCTGCTGTGGGTACACAGTCCAGAAAGAACAGAATACACGGCCTACTCCTTGGATGGTACCAGTCACAGACTTCCGTCTCAGTAAGGACCAAGACTCTTCCGGAGGCTCTAGAATGTTGTGATCCATGCACTCGTGCACACGTGTAAATGTTCCACTGTTTGTACTTTAGGAGGAACTGTATGCAAAATTATTTCAGTCATTTCTTCCTTCTGGGCTGAAAGATTTCACTCTTGCTAGCAAATAAGGATGGTCCCTACAAATAATGACCTCACCTGTCTCTGTTGGTAATAAGCAGTTGGTATTTTCATGCAAAGTTTACCTAGGGGAGGGCTCTACAGAAGGCAGAATGACTGCCAGTACAAAATCAAACGTGGCTTTGGTAGCAATTTAACTCATGAACAGCAATGGAAACTCATACTCTGTCAGGAAATTATTCTCAGGTAGCAGAAACATGTGCTGTGAAAACCTTAATGAATGAAAACTGGTATGTTTCTATTTAGAAAACACTTAAAAGACAAACAACGGCTCAGAGAAGCATAGAAGCAAATTTCTACTTTCCCAAAAGACAAAAAAACAGGAGACAGCTGGATGGTAAGTTCCCCTGAGAGACCCTGTTCACACAGCATACCTGCGAATCCTGGCGAGCAGACACAACTGTAATGACTGATGCCGTCCACACACATACCATGGACACAAGGGTTGCTCGCACAGTCATCAAAATTAATTTCACAATTAACTCCTGCAGAGACAGAACCAAAGAGAAATCATTCCACATTACCAAACAAGTATCACAGCTTTTGCTTGTGATGCTAAACTATAAGAAGTTTAAGGAGAATCCAGGCAGCCCTGGACAGAACAAAGCAGCACTTCTCAACAGAGTACAGTTCACAGACTCTTCCAGGGAGTGAGAGCGGGATGTTGAGGTAAAAAGGATGTTATTACTCACACGCAGCCACTGTCTGCCTTTTTCATTGTGTTGAAATTCACACTGATGGTGCAAAGGTAATGGGGGCAAAACTGTTGGTATTTCAGCAAGAATCCAGGCAGCAGCACCAAGCTGTGCAAGTGGTCACTTCCTCTTCACACCCTCATGCCCACAGTTAAACAAACCCAAGTGCCAGTTTCACTGAAGAATAGCTTTCATGAAGAGGTTAAAATGATAATTTAATAACTACATCAAATGTCAAGCCTAGAGTATATCTCTACCATTTCAGGGGAGGAAATGGGAAGTACACATAAAGTACTTCATTTTTGCTTCTCTGCAGGACCGGACATCTTCAGATTGAACCCAGGGAGCACCAGACAACATCCTTGGCCCTTTTTGGTCTTGGTCTTGGTCTCTGTGGAAGGTAGAAATCTTAGGGAGACCCTATTTAAAATTTTTTAAAAATAAGAAGGGCTAACCAATAGTCTTGTAGCCTGAATGGAATGAAAGAGAAAAGAAGGCTTGCTGCTTCCTGCCTGCCTGCTAGGGACTGTTTCTCCTCTGAGAGGCCCCTCTGCACGGTGCCCTGCCTTGGTGATAGTTGACTGTGAACTGAAATGTCTACAAAATAAACCTCTTCTCCTTTAACTTGTGACTGTTAGGTATTTCGTCCCAGAAACAAGAAAGTAACTAAGGCAGTCATTACATACAGTTTTCATGACTTTTCTCTATTCCTCTCAGCCAAGCTGAGAATCCAGCTGTGTTACCCCTATTTTAAAGAAGGCTCAGCTGGCTTGCACAGCAGTAGTAAGGACAAGCTCAGCTGAGAACTAAACCATTCCCTCTGCTTCCACAGCCCTATGCTTGCTAGCATGCCATGCTTTCTTGCAGTGCTAAGGAGGGCATCCTCCCTCGTTAGCCATATATGCAAAAGCAATCTCCATATTCCTGTATACAAACATATGCCCTTAGGAGGTGCTTCTGGCCAACGACAGGCAGTGTTCTGACTTTCATCCCTAAAGGAGGCCCAATAAAGCCCTGGCATTCCCAGGTGGCTCCAGCCCAACAGCCATTGTTTACTCAAGCAGGAGATGACATCTGGGTTAAGGCCAGTCAGTGAACTTCTATATGGAAATTTGACCTATGTGACTTAGGGTCCGCAAATTGCCCTGTTTTGTGCCATTTTCTCCAAAGCCTTGCAATTCCATTCCTGCTAAGAATCTATGAGCGGCTTCAGTGTGCCTGTGCTAAATTGTTTTTTTGACTCTGTATATGAGATAAGCATTATTTTTATTAAACCACTTTTCTGTTTACTTGTTTACTAATGTTTTCTTTCAGCTAGCTCAAGCTGATTTTTGTTACATGAAACCTAAAGGAACCAACTACTCATACAGTAACATCATAAAAGCACAGATAAGAGAAGGCAACTGAAAGAGACTCTGAATGGTTTATCTAACTTTAATCACCCAGTAAATGAATATAACAACTGAAGCTGCAATGTGTCCCTTCTTCCCTCACCCCCACCCAAACAACAAGCTACCAAAATGGACCATATTATAACTAGGTCAAGGATTTGTACTCTGTAAGAGTCTCTTCATAATGCCTCATTTAATGGACTTCCCACCCTGGTCCCGGCACATGCCAGTTCTTTCTCCACCCATTACAGACCAACAATCCTTTATGTTGCTGCAGCTCTTTGCCTGAATTCCTCAAACAGCTGCAGGAACGGGTCTGGCAGGGCTCTGAGCCGTTCTGAGCCATTCTCTCCATGCTGCCTGCCCCAGACACTCGTATTTACTTCTTGCCTTTCTCAGGGACACCTACGCACACCACGCCCTCTCTGTCCTCCCCAGGAAACACACCCGATACGACCTGGCATAGCGATACAAGCCCACAGAAAACAAAGCGCTCGCCAGCCCCCACTCACTCGCGTTTCCAGCATGTCTGCCGTCACACGAACGACAGCAAAGCCGAAAGCAGCCCCTCCATTCTAAGGTGTCCACTCACTGCTCGTAAGTCGCTCAGATGTCGCTCAGATTAGTTTTCCTATTGCAATTTCTTCTGTCTGGGGACCAGCCCGGAAGCAAATTGCTTTTGGAAGCTTCCCAAAGGTCTATTCAGCCCTTTGAGGGCGGTTCTCTAAATGTGGGGAGGGGGAGGCATTCTCAGCTGTGAAGGCATGGGATGTTTTTCGTATGCTTGAGCAATTCAAAAAGGACTTTGTTTTTAAACTTGGCTTGTGTGAGGCCCTGGATAAAGTCCAGCGCCTCTGACAAGTTTGAAGAAATGGATTTGGGAATGACACAATAAAATGAGGGCAGTTAGCTGCCTCCCTACCTCTGCCGCCTACCTAGGCCATTTTCCTCAAGTCCAGGATGAGCGCTCAGAAATCACCCGATACTGGCAGGTTCCTCCTGAGCAAAGGCACACATCAGTTAGTCTTCCACTAATACGCCCGCCTTTGATCTGGGACACAGAACTTTTCTGTCCATTAACCACCACTGTCCAGAGAAAACTGGGAAATGCTGCTGCCTGAAAACACAACCCCCAGTATCCCAAGAAGAAGCGGCCAGCGCACATCACAGGAGCCTTCAGCCAGGGCCGGGGACATCGTGGAACTCTAGGGATAGGCAGCGAGGTCTGCACATCCCAGGTCATGTTTACCATGATGTGCAGCAGACGGTGCCCCTCCCTTCAAGACCCCCGAATGCCTGAGGCCCCAGATGCAAGCGGCAGAAGGAAACTGTTACACTGTAGAAAAGAAAGGCAACTACAGGAAGGGAGGGAGGGAGGGAGGGAGGGATGAGAGAAGGAAGGAGGCAGGGAGGGGAGAAGAGAAGGCAGGAGGAAAGCTTCATTAATTAAGTGGCAGAGGCTTAAAGAGATAAAACAGAACAGCCATCGAGCCACAAAGGCAAGAGCTTTCAGTTTTAAAAACCTCACGTTTTGAAATGGGATGCCTGATTTAATTAAAAACACACCGAGACAAAAACCACTAGATTGGCAGAGTTACGGTCTCCAACTTCTCCACCGAACAGAGTCATCTGCCCTGGAGATAGTTATGGTTTTAGGGTTGCGCTTCTCAGTGTTAGGGCTGTACTTTAGGTTTCGGAGCAAATGTCAGGAATACTGGAACTGTCCGCATAAGCTGTGTTTGAGAACAGTGAGACCCCAGCTGCGCACAGCCCCCGCCGGCTTACCTGACGTGCCCGGCTGGCAGTTGCACTGGTAGCCATTCACGAGGTCGATGCAGCGTCCATCGTTCAGGCACGGACTGCTGTAACACTCGTCGATCTGGTCACTGCAGATGGCACCCATGTACCCGGGGTTGCAGACGCAAATGTAGGAATCAATCCCATCCTGGCACTGGCCGTGGTGGCAGGGATCAGGGTCACAGTTGTCGATGTTCTCCTCACACAACAGACCAGTGAAACCTGGGGAAGGATTTTACACAGGGATCTTGCAAACCAAGGTAGGTGCCGCACACGTGGACCCAAGAGTTTGTCCGTTTACCCCTCGGAATGACTGTCATTGCCAGTGTCGGGCAGGGAGCTGGACATTTGATTTCGAAGGCCAGCCTCCTTCAAAGCTGCAGAAATGAAACACCTCTCTGACCGATGGCTGACTTCACCTTAAACATGACTTCATCTCAGCTGCTGCTTACTGGTTATCAGGGGAAAGCCTCTCACAGCCTCCCTTTAGGTGTTTTTGTCTGAATTCCTTTCCTCCCAAAACCAACCCACAGGTACGAATTCATGTTTTTATGCAGCCTCTTCCCAATTCCGACTTTGGAAACACAGAATATTTCTTTATTCCTGCCAGTCCCTCCCCGAGTGCTGTGGGTATATTCTCGGTTTTCAATAAATACTTGTTGAAAACAATGAGTGAACCAAGTGTGAACAACGCAAAAGGAACAAGCCAGGGTTCCTAAATGCCAGGGTTCAAATCACTTATGGTTCCACCTCTTCCTGAGAGGCTCCAGGAGGCCTCTCCCTGGGGTTAAATGTGAGTTTGAGAGTTTTAGTCTCTCCCCTGAGTGAAGCCAAGGCTTCACATTAAGAGTCTGGCCTGGGATGGCAAAGTCCAACAGTCTGGAAAGGAAACCAAAGTTTGGGGTCTCACTGGAAAGATCCTAAGAGGATCTAACGTTGGCGATATCACCTTTCTGAATGATTTTAGGCAATTAAGTTTCCTTTTCTGTTATGAAAAAGAAATCATTTGCACGATGCCTATAATCTTTTAAGAATCCACTCTCTAAAATAACACAATGTCTTGAAATATATGTAGTAACTCCTTCATCAAGCAGCCATATAATAAAGAACTTCACCTTCTGTAGTAATCTCTAGGCTTTCTCTACATTACTGACCTGCACAGAAGCAAATGTAGAACAGGAGTATTTGGTTTAATGACACCCACTCCCGAGAGAGAAATGTGGCCAGAGACCAAGTAAAGCAAAATGTGTATGACCAGATCCTTGTGAACTGTAGAAGTAAAAGTCAGCACACAGCCCCACACTTTCCCAGCTAAGGCTCTCTCCTCTCACTTACACACCTGACTCCAAGAAAAACACCTCTGGGGTGCAGAAAGCCAGTGCACAAGCACACTCAGTCCTTAGACTCTTTCCGACCACTGCCTCAGGAGGCAGAGAGACCCCTGCAGAAAGCTCAGAGACAACTGCTTTCCACAGGGCTCCTTCTCTTTCCCAAAGCAGTCCGTCCAGCCAGCCGGAAGCTCTCTGCTCCCCACGTCAGTCCAGAACAACATGGGCACCGATGTGAGGTCCTGGCCCAACCACTGCCTTTGTGCAGGAGGCAGGTGCAGCAGGAGGAACCGTGGGAACAGGGAAAGCATCTGGCAGTTCTCCCCATGCAGGACAGCGCCTGGCTCTCCAACAGAACAGCCGACACAGGAGTCGTCCTGCTGCGCCAAGAGCTCTCCCAAGGCAGGAAAAGGGAGCAGGTGCTTACCTGTGGCGCACTGGCATTCGTAGCCATTCGGGTGATCGATACACTTGGCCCCGTTCAGACACGGAGTACTGGAGCAGTCGTCGATGTCAATCTGGCAGACTGGCCCCGTGAAACCTTGAAGAGGCACCATGGCGACACAAGTCAGAGACTTTCTGTGTCCTCCTTTCCTGGGAGGATGATGCCCCCGCCCCCCAGGGCACGAGGTCCCTGGCCGGGCGTATGTCAGGGGATCACCAAACAGAACAGCGGTGCCCAGAGGGCTGTGGAACATCAGGGGAGGATCAGGGTCAGAGGCTCTAGTGCCTTACTGCAGCTCTCGTCTCAGGAGAGGAACCGGTGAGACACACGGCAAAGCCCCCCACCTGGGACGGTATCTGCGGCGGCAAAGGGACCTTCTCTCTGAAGAGAAAGCAGAGGCTTCCGCTGATGGGAGACACTTGACATGCCTTCCACAAGAGCATCAAAGAAAAGCGAGAGATGGAGGGAGGACCGGGCAAAAAGTCGTGGTGTCTGCTGTCTGTCTGGTCTCGTGGGGTAAAATGCGTAAAAATAATAATCTCACAGAGGGGCCTGAGAACACGACTCACGGGGAAATGTGAGACCCCAAACAGAGACCTCGGGTGAGTGCTCTGAAATACACACACAGACAGACCGGCCACGGCCACCCAAGAACAGACCTGGACTTCCGGCCACAACAACTTGAGGACAACTAGCAAAAGCAATGCTACAAACACCTCCCGCCATGCTCGCTTTCACAGTTTCCCCACACGCTCCTCCCTCCTCCCTCCCTGTGCTTCAAGCAGATGGGGCAGGCAGCGGGCACTTACCAGGGGGACACAGACACTGGAAGCGATTGACTCTGTCCACGCACTGCCCGCTGTTCACACAGGGGTTGCTCTGGCATTCGTTTATCTCCATTTCACAGTGCACACCTTTGAAACCTGCACAAAATGGACCACACGCATCTCAGCAACACAGCAAGGCGCAGTCCAGCAAACAAAGCAAAAGACAGCAGAGATGGCCACAACTTGTACGAGCATAAAACTTTCTGCAAACAAGAGGGTCTTTGCCATGTGGGGAAACAATCCTCAAAACCAGCAGGAGAGCAGATACTGCGAAAGATTCTTATCGGTATGAAGTGCGGGGGGCTCCAAAGACACTGATGAGACCTCGCCTGCAAAGCTCCTGCTACCTTTTCTGTGGCCAGTGCCAGGCCCAGCGGCTGCCCACTTTGTCCTAAAGGCCAGCTCTCTTGAAGACGGTTGCTCTCAGGGCTTATCGTAAGGCACAGCAGCTGCCCTCAGCGTCCCTTCAAGCCAGACTTGGCTGTGTCCTCTGAGGGGTAAGAACGGACTGCAGAACATAGCTGGGCTCGTACCTCACTCCATATAAATAGAAAGCTCCTATATAATTGTGGATAAAATCCCTTATAATATACCACACTTGTTATTTGAGATCCTTAGCGTAAAGTGCTTCTGAAATTTTCCGTCACGTGCATTTGACTTCTGCCACCATGCGCTTGTTTCATCTGCTTTACTCCACTGTAGCAGTTCAGCACTGCACAGAGCTACCCTCTGTGAGTGAGGGGTTTGCCCAGGAGCCCCATCTTCCTACAGTGCAGGCCGCACAAGGAATCCAAAGCAGGCCCAGTGCACAGACTGCAGCAGTTCCCGGGACCCCCTGGGGCAGTGCAGTGCAGCCCCCGCCCTCACCCGGCACTGTGGGCCCGCTCACCTGGCATGCACAGGCAGGTGAAGCCACCTATCTTATCCAGGCAGGTGGCATCGTTCTGGCAGGGGTCCGAGTGGCATTCGTTGATGTCCATCTCGCAGCGAGGCCCCGCGTAGCCCTTCAGGCACTCGCAGTGGAAGGCACCATCTGTGTTCACACACTTTCCTGCGTGCTCGCAAGGATTGCTGTTGGCTGCAAGACATAAACACTCATCATTGGGATCCTGGCACCTGGCAGTGTCCACAGACGTGGACTCCAGAGCAGTCTGCTGGCTACGACACCGGGGCCTGGCCTGTGGTGAGTTCATGCTTAACTTTCTCCTCCTTCCTTAATTTGAGGAAAGGAGGAAGAGAAGATGAGGGTGATCTCTACTCAAATGCTTTCTGCTATTCTTCTGCCTGATGCCACTGAGTTAGGACTTTACATTAAGAGTCCAGGGCAGGTCTTCCTTCCATGTATTTAATTCCCAGGGTACAGCCCATAGTTATGCTGACAAAGTTAGGAAGCAGTAGACATGGGACAGGAGGACTGCAAGTAGCACGGTCCTGGAGGAGGCTGCGCAGCTGACACACACTCTCAGCAAGGGGAGGTCCCTGCACTCACTCATGGCGCACTCGTCCACGTCTTCTGTGCAGTCGGCTCCTTTGTAGCCTTGTGGGCAGGTGCAGATGTAGTGCCCATTCAGGGGGTTGGTATCACACAGCGCCCCCTTGTGGCAAGGATTGCTGATGCAGGCATCGTCCAGATGACATAAGAGCCCTGTCACAGGGTGGGGTTGGGGTTGGGGAGAGGAAAAGGGAAGAGAGAAAATGTTTCTCACTTGGAGAAGACCTTTCTCTTTCATCAAGAAGGGAAGAACATGAGTAGCTCCTTAAAATCCAACACGAAGATTCAGAGTCCATCTCCCCTTTGCCTGATGTACCTCAGTGGCATACAGAAGACATCTGCAATGCCACTTAGCACTCCAGAGAACCCTCAGCCATACCTCTCCTCAGGGCAGATGTGCGGGACAGAACAGAAAACTAGAAGGAAGACACAGGAAAGCGGACACATCCTCTGTAGGGTGTGCCAGATTTAGCAAACAGAAGTAGACGCCCAGTTAAATCTGAATTTCTGGGAAACAAGGAATGTTTGTGTAAGAGTGTGTGAAATATCCTAAGAATTCTGTATTTTATCCGGCATCTTCCTTCTCCGGTGTCACACCACCCGATGACCCCAGACCCACCAGCAGTTCACCGGCAACTGCTTTCAGAGGAAACAGCAACTGAATGAGCACCCTCCTTTTCTAGGGCACCCCTGAGGAGTACTGACATACAGCCTCGGGTGTCTTCCGGTCATGGGAGACACTGCAAGTCTTCCTGCCCTTCAGAGTTTTAGTGTGAACTACATTCTCCACTCAGCAATTAACTGAAGCTTCTCCCACAAAACTGGAGGTGTGACTTCAGAAAGGGAGAGACACATGAACATTTCAAAACTTCTGGGCAGAAAGTTCTTTCAGCTGAACTATTCTCTTCATTACATGGGTCTCCACGTTGCTCTTCTACTGGTAGAACTAAAAACTATTAAGCTGGGAGGCTAGAGCACAGCAAATTTTGTAGTCTGAAGAAATCTTCCTTTAGAGGAATATTTCCACAGACACTGAGAGTTGAAATATACTTAAATGCTCCTCCTGCCAACTCCTGAGTAAAATGGATTGATTACTCCTTCTTAAAACAAAATCTGTGAATCCATTTACTGGTCATTTAGTCTGAATTTTTTTCACTCTAAGATCTGGAAGAGCTTTGCAGAGCTCCAAAGATGAAGTTACTGGCTTTCAGCTTCGGGAATGAGAAAAATCAAACTACTCAGAGCCGAGATGAGAGGCAAAGTTCTATGGAAGGAGACTAGCTTCACAGGCCTCTGACTAGCAGATTGCATTTCCAGAAAAAGAGCCTTGAGGGATACGCTCCTAAAGATGAACACTCACGGAACACAGCTGCCAGACCAAAGAGAAGGCATGGGCTTTCCACCTCCCCCTTCCCTGGCCTCCAGTTCCATCCTGCTGCTCGGCTCACCTGCCTTCCCCTCGGGACACATGCAGGAGAAGGAGGCCACACGGTCGATGCAGGTGGAGCCCGGGGTGCAGGATGCAAAGGCACAGTCATCGATGTTCTCACTGCAGTCATTTCCACTCCAGCCGTTCACACACACGCAGCCATAGCCCCCATTGCGGTTGGTGCAGGTGCCTCCATTCTGACAGGCATTGGGTTGCAGCAGGCACTCATCCACGTCCTCTGTGCAGAATTGTCCTTTAGGGAAAGAACATCTGATGAGGGACCCGAGGTCTCAAAGGATTTGTGCCATACCAGCTCCTGTCACGTGGCCCTGTCCTGTCACGTGACCCGGTCACATGACCCACTCTCAGCAGTCCAGGCGTTCTCGTTCGGCCATCCACATGACACTTGTTCCAGGCACATCACTTCAAAAAGGACACAAACTGCGACTACCAGGAATTCTGACAACACGAGAATTCAGCCTGCCTACCAAGCAGATGTTTCACTCAGTGAAAGCCCAGGGACAAGGACTAAGTGAGAAGGGTGAGGAGAGATGGTCTGAGACACAGATAAGAAAAGAATAATGAGAAGGAACCCCTACACCAAAACATGAGAGCGACTCTTGTCTATCTGGGTTGTAGCAATGTCAAGGTCCTGCTTGTGATACTGTATAGTAGTTTTGCAAAATGATAGGACTATTGGAAAACAGATGGTAAAGGGCACTCAGTGTATCTCGTTAATTCTTACAGCCATGTATGGAACTATAATTATCTCAAAGACTATGGTTTTAAAAATGTTACGGCAAGCGAGGATAGAAATCTTCAAGATATGAAGAACAATGAAAATGTCTGGTAAAGGGTGTCTATAAAAGGCAAGGCTACGAGCAGGGAGACTGGAACAAAATGTGCTGAGCACGGGTACAAAGTCCGCCCCATGTAATAGGAAATGGGAAAAGGACCCGTTTGCTCTCCTGAAAGAGTACACTGAAGGATGATAACCATCAGACTACAGATGTTATAGGGGCCTCTGCCACAGCACTGAGTGGACTACAGCTAAAGCCAGTTAGCAAGGAACAAGACTATGTGTTACATTCCTTACAACCAAGGAGTCTGTGATTCACAAAAGCAGTTTAGTGCCAAGCCGTCTGAGCTATAAAGCAAACTAATGAACTGACCTTAGTTGGAGATGCTTACAAATCAATTTAGACAGCTGGCAAAGAAATTAAAAATTTAGATCATTTGAATTCTCTAAATGACAAGTTGCTGAAACTCCAAAAACGCCATGGTCTCCTCCATCCTTCCTTTGTTTAGAACAACACTGAAGCCGGGCAACATGGCTCACGCCTGTAATCCCAGCACTCAGGAGGCTGTGGCAGGAAGATCCCCAGGAGTTCAAGGCCACCCTGAAATACACAGTGAGACCCTGTCTCAAAATAAAACAAAACTCAGAGATTCATTCCCAAAAGCAGTCTGATGAAGAGGCCTCTTAATGAGAAAGCACCTAACATCTGTACCTAGGAAATGCCCAGGCTACCGCTAGTCCCCCAAACACCTAACAAGTCAGCTGGCTGTGTATCTGAAGAGGCCTAAGCATGCCAGCCACGGGGCCGTCACTGCTGGAAGGGGCTAGTCATGTCCCTAACCTGACTGAATGTCTGTTTCTTACTCCTGTTCAACCTGTACCTCTGCTGCCACATAATCGACAAGAGTCAGTCACACGTCTTTGGCTGCACATCCACCTATCCACACGGCTTGGCCACAAGGAACCTCAGTTTAAAGACCTTGTCTTGCATCCTTAGGGAAGCCAGGCACCCAGCACATCAGGATGGGCACGTGGAGGCCTCTGATCCCCCTCTGCTTCTCCCTGTTCTCCATCCACGTGAGGCCCGCAGGAATCGCCACGATCTTACACATCTACCCCTCCTGGCCACAGCTGACTGATCCAGGACGGGCACCAAACCCAAGCAACATCCATGTCTCTGTCCCGAATTACTGCACTCAACATGCTGCCTGCCCCAGGACCAAAGAGATGAGGTGGCTTGTTTGCAAAGAAAGTGATCCGGAGAGAAATCAGAAGTGCGCAGAGAGAAAAATAACATCACGTCGGTCCCTGTCGTTCCTGAAGCCGGACTGCTCCGGAGCCCACTTGGTGGCACAGCTGTTCTGAGAGGCATCTCCTGCAAAAGGCTTCCCTAACCTGAGAGGAGTTCAAATACTGACTAATACAGAGCAAGGGAGGGAGGCGGAGAGGGGAGGAAGGAGAGAGAGTAAAGCAGCGAGCCAGCAGAGGAGAGGGTGAGAGTAGAGCCTCGGGAAAACGGTGGAGGGGGTGAGGAAGGGCGTGAGTGAGCGAGGTAACAAGGGAGAGATGAAGAAAGCAAGGGAGGAGGGAGGAAGCGAGAGAAAGAGAGGGAGAGAGGCAGGGAGAGCAGGGACTCCACGGCAGTCATCCCCCGGGCCGAGGACGTCGTTCATTACCGCAAGCTCTGTTCCTCCAGCAGACGCCACTCCAAAGCAGTGACAGGTGTGTTAGAGGATGCAGGTGGGGCTGAGTAATAAACACAGACCAACAAGCAGGTGAAGCGCTGCTGTGACCCGGAAATTACCGAGTCTTGTCTCCTCGATGCACTCACCCTACCTTACGCTGCCTCTGCATACAACGGCTTACAGGGTGAGAGCCAGGTAGCTGCTATTTTTCTTTATTGAGGCTCTCCAATAAATCAGAGTGTAAGACGCTGCGCCTGTAAAAGCATTTCTTATACATTTCTTGTGCATTACACCAAGCCACTGAAACACTGCTGTAAAATAAACTAAATAAATAAATGAGTACACTAGGCAAAATACTATCTCCTCAGAACGGAAATGTGGCACTCTTGAGAGAAGATACCAGGAGCCATGGATTGCCTACCGTGAAACAGCACCGCTCTCGGGGCTGTCATAACAACAACAATAAACCTCTATAGCTCGGGGAATAGGGTGCAAGTAGTTTGTTAACTTGCTTTATGAGACAGTGCTGGGGTTGCCTTGCTCGAAAATTCTTAACCAAGACTTGCGGGGGAACCTGACCCTATCAAGCCACTTCTGCATGTCCCTTTTTTCCCAAGTGCACGCAAGTAGGTAAAGGGGGTGGGGATGGAGGATGTGGAGACCAAAGCAGGACTCACACAGTGGGGTGACTGGAAAACTAACTAACGACTACAAACCACTGTCCAAAACAGAAATGTACTTTGGGGCTCCAATTCATTGTTTTTTAATGAGACTGATTAGATACCTTCGCTGAATATCCGGAACTATGTATCCGTTAGATGCTGTGCATTAAAGACACGAAGTCTAGAGACCTGAGAACATACTGGCTTCAGAGTAACTGTCTCCAGGACGGACCGCTTTTCTTCTCAGGTTCAGGGACACTTCTTCAGAACAGTGATGCCCCCCAGTCTCGTTTCTACAGATTTTTTCCTCATTACAAATCCATCAAGCGGTTCTAAGATTTAGAATGTTGAAAATAGTAATAAGGGTGGCTACAATTTTCCTCCAAAATTCCCAAAGGAATGGCTAAGATATTCACTTCTTTCATGTCCCCACCCTGTTAGAAGAAAACTAATGCCGGAGCTTAACATTCAGAAAAACAAGGGTCATAAGAGATGCAGCCCAGTGGTAAAATGCTTGCTCTGGCATGCACAGGCCCAGGGTTCAGTCCCCAGAAATGCAGAAACAAAATACCTTTAGTTATGCTTAAAAGGAAAAAAAACAGGAAAGGAAGGGGGAGGAAAAAGGCGGGGAGGGAAAGGAAGAAGAGGAGAGGGGAGGGGAGGGGGAAAATAAAAGTGCAGAAAAGTAAATAATCTTTCCAAGTTCATGGAGCTGGTGAGCGGGAACTGTCATTCAAACCCAGCTCAGTCAGACTCCACATCCGATGTCCTTTTATGCAGCACAGCTGATTATACAGCACTGGCTTTGTTCAAGATCTACAGACCAAGTCCCTGATCCTGGGCTCTTACGGCACACCAGGAAAGCCCAGGTGCATACGGTAATTAAAAAACACACTGAGAATAAAGTAATAAGGGCAGAGGGCCATGAGACAGCACAGTAGGGTAAGCTCCTCGTGACTCCATAGGGGTATTAGTTACAGGCTGGCTTTTGGCTTTTCCCACTGCTGCAAAGCAAGAAAACAGTAGCTTGGACTGTAGGAAAGAGGCCTACTAAGAGATAAAATTATGGCGAGGTCTGCACAGAAGGTAACAAAATGGGCAGTGTATTCTTTGGCTAGGATTTTAAAGATGAAAAGGCAGAGAGCAGTCTGAGGATCTGAGTCTGAATCCAAACTTCAACCTGACAAGCAAATCTGAGTGGTTCGGAACACAATCAACACTGAAGATTAGACGGGCAACAGACGCAGGAGGGAGGACACGCAAATGAGTTTCTGTCTATAGGGAGAGGAGGGCAGAGCACTAAGTTATGAGCTACCTAGCAAATAAAAGCATCTGGTGAAAAGGGAGAGCTGTGCTGTTTTCGTCCCCTACCACGCTACTAAATCTTCAACCCAGACAGGTCTCGGCACGCGTCATCAGCATCATCTGTGTCAACACAACAACCGGGCCGGTGAGCTCCCAAAACAGGCTGCACAACGCTCAGTTAGGCAAGTTCTGTAGGGTAGTAATTATCCCACTTAGTAATTCTTCCTGAAGCCACTACACACTACTGCTCACTAGCACTGGGGCCACGGCAGTGGGCCATGAGGGCCTTCTCCATGCCATTTCCTACAGGAAACAGAGAAAGGAATGCTATTAGAAACTGCCCTCTTCGATGCCACCAGGAGTCTGGACGAATCTGGAAGGAAAGGTCACACTATCCGATCCTTGGCTGGCAGCTTGAACCCTGAGAGCCACCGGGAGCTACAGTTTTCTGGCTTACCAATTTTGTCTTGAAAAGGTACTCAAATCCTACCTCTTCTTTGTACATCTTTCTCCGGTCACAACAGTTTCCTGTTGGTTCCTCAAACATTAAGTTCTTCCCTGCCTTGGTGCCTCTGCCTCACTGATTTCTCCACCCCTCTAATTGATGGCCAGATGTTTCTCCTCCTTCAGACCTCTCGTGCCCTAAGTGGATCTCGAAATGTACATCTCTCACTCTCCCCTACCCCTGCATCTATGCTACTGCACATATCCCAGAGTATATCACAAGCTGTACTTTTATATTCATTTTCTCTATACACAGGACTCTTCTCCCTTCAGACAGTAAGCTCCATGACAGCAGGGT